CCAAAAGAATAAAATTTCGACCTCTACTTATACCTTAAATTACGATAAAATAAAAAAAGGTTTAAATCAACAATTTCAAAATTATGTGATTTATATTAGTGGGTATATTTCATTTAACTAATGCCTCATTTCTAAAAATCAAGTTATTACTAAAAATTAAGTTCTCGATATACAATAAATTTTTATTTACTTGGGCGTTTCTATCAGTGACTAATAATATAACCAGGCTTATGAAAAATTTTAATTAAATTGTTACAGTTTTTGATTTAAAAAGAGCTTAAATCAAAAATAACTATTTTTATCAATCCGAAATCAAAGCTAATCATTATTTAAAACCAAAACTAGAAACGTAATAGTATTAAAAAATTTCATCTTTAAGTATAACGTTGTTTTTAATTAAAACTAAAACGTTTAACATGAAAATTTGTTTCAGCTCTTATATAGATAGGAAATGTTTTAGGAACGAAGTTCTTAATGGTAGGTTGAGTTATATATGATTTTGAGGAAGGACCCAACATAGAAAATGTGATACAAAACGAGTAACGAATCTATTCCTATATATATGCGAATAGTGTATAATATATTTCTCGTTCACCTTCTTGCTTTCTGTATCCATTTTTTACGATACCACTCTGCTGCGCCTTATGTATTTTATATACTTATTCATTGTTATATATATATACAAGCAATGTGCATACGTTAATATTTTATATTTTACACATGAATGTTCTTAATATATTGATTACTCATTTTTTTTTTACTATTATATATTATACTATTTTTTGAACAATTTGATATATAGTTCAAATTTTTTTATTTAATTATTTAATAATTTTAATTTGTTTAATACTAACAATTTGAACCACTATTTTTTTCCTTTTATTTTGTTGTAAAGGCTACACTGTAGTGTATAAATGTGTTTCACATACAGTCATGTACACAGAGTGTATTATCGTGATGTGATTATCATTATTAAATGTTGTAATTATAATGTACGCTAAAGAATAAATTAAAATAAATGTGATATTCTATATATTATATTCACTAAATTAATTACAATAAACTGCAACATATTTTACGTTGACTTTTATTTTTCAAAATACTAAGCTAATCAATAAGTAAAATTCAAATTGCAAAAAGCAAAAAAATATAAATTACATAACTTTTAGTATTTTTTTTTAGCAAATTGCATAACTAGTATTTTAGCTGAAAGAACTACACTCCTACCAGGTGTCCCACAATATCAACTAGTTTTTTAATTAATTTTATGAGAGTACATTTTCAAACAATGAAAAATCAAACAAAAATGAAAAAACAATGATAAAGTGTTTAAGTGAATACCTAAATACTTTTTAAAAGTATTTTAAATAATCTTCAAATAAAAAAACCAGCACAGTGGGGACGTGGCATAGTTGGGTCAAGTATAATGATATCTGACAGTGATTAAAATCACTATCATAAAAAACGATTTTATGCAAATCTGTAGATAGTGTTTAATTAGAAAAAAAAATGATGAATTATTCGAAAAACTACATGATCTTCTATTTCTTTATTTATATCCTGATTACAAGTTTTATGATTAATAAATGTAATATATGAACATATATATTTGTAATATATAAATGATCGAAATCTGGTAAGACACTTATTTTCTTAGAAACTATTGAAAATTAAAAATTTTTGTAAAAATAAAAATGATTAAGTTTATAAAACTACAATAATATGAAGTTAAATTTTATTTTTATCCCTTCAGTGAAAAAAATATTTATTTATAATTTTTTTTTAATGGGAACCACTATTATTGATTTGATAATATGATAGAAAAAAAAATTACAAACAATTTTGTTTTTATAATTTTTTTTATACAAACAACCGTTTACGTTTTATAATTGTTTAAAGATTTTGATTTCCAGAAAAAATATTGTCATCTATTACGTTTCATAAAATCGGTGGCAGTGCAACCGGTATTTTTGTTAGATTCTATAGTCTTACAAAACCATAGACTGAGCTATTAATAATACATCGAAAACCCGATTTGAATCTATTATTGTTATCACTCATTTAGTGCGTAGTAAATTTTTATAGCTAATTTACCTGTCATAACTTAATCAATAAAATTTGGTTTATGCAACAGAAAATAAAAATAATGACTTTTGTATTTAATACAATAAAATGACAATAGAAATTTAGCCTAAAATCACTCAACTTTAACAAGCTGTAACGGACGAACGGTTAATCGGATAATAAAAATTATAAGAACAAAATTGTTTGTAATTTTTTTTTCTATCACATTATAAAGTTAAAAGTAAGGATTCACATTTAAGAAAATTATAAATAAGGATTTTTGTCCTTGAAGGGACGAAAAAAATAATGGTTTCACTACATATTATTGTAGAGTTTTTTGAGCTTGATATTTTTTCTCTGCAATAAAATTTAAAATTATCAATATTTTCTGAGAAAATGAGTGTCTTACCAGATTTCTATCACCCTGTATGAAGGGAAATGGTTTTATTCAAAAAAAAGGTATGTTGAACGAAAGAGGTATATAAATAGTATTTTTATATTTTTTAAAAAGTTATAGCACTATAAAATTTAAAATATAAAAAAGAATTTTTTTACAAAAATATTTTTTTTTTATTAATTTGATGATGTTAGATTTCATCATGAAAACAAACTTAAGTCTGAAATTTATCTTTTTCATATTAAAGTATATTACATAAGCTTTAATTTAATATATATACATATATATATAATATGTATAAGTGTCATTATTTCCCAAACACATTCAAAAATAAAGTTGAAATAGTTCTTTTTTCTATGTTTTGAACCCCCTGTATTAAGAAAAATGGTCTGATTTAAAAAAAATATGTCGAATGAAAGAAGTATAAAAATATTATTTCTGATAAAAATATTATATTGATTTGGTCATTTTTGAAAAAGTTAAAACAGTTTTAAGAAAAAAAATTTTCGAAAATTAGTGATTTTTAAATTTGTAATTTTTTTGGATGATTCCCCTATATACGAGGAACGAGAGTAAATTTTTAAATTTTTATGGGTAATGTTCAACTAGATACAATTTGGGATTTTTTGACGCCTTGTTGAAAGAAACCGGTCCAGTGAGAGCTGGAAAAAAGTAGTGACAGACACAAAAAAAAAAAAAACACATCATGGCAAAATTAATTCCTTCTCAGTTTCGTATCGAAGCTAAAAACAGTTATTAAATTTTAAAATAGTTTATTTTAATGAAAAGTGTTTTTATTGCGTTTTGGATTCGATGCGAAGTAGAAAAAATATTGGTTTTGTGTGGTGTGTTTTTTTTTTTTTTTTTTTAACACGCTTATATTAGTTTCAAATGTATATTTTTTGTTGTTTGTTGTAAGTTTGTAACTCCACGCGCCATGTGTTATTATGTTGCCTATCACGTCGTCTATGGCCTTGAGACTAGACTGTCGTAACGCATTTACCCCAACCCGCTCACCAATCACCGCCAACACTGTTTTCCTGTATAATTTTATTTTTGGTTTTCGTACTCGTATAAGCGTGCGTGTCATCAATTATATTTATATATATATATATAACGAATTTTCATTTTGAATGACACGGCCCCGCGTCGCTTCGTTAAACACGATGTCCCGCGACTCGCGCCACCTTAATCAGCCGTCGCCCTACTATGAGTATTTGACTGGCCAACACCGCGTGACATACACCACGGCGCAAAGTCCAACAAGTGTCGCACAGCCGACGACGACCCGCCGCAAATGATAAGTGAGTCTTCTTCCCGTTGTCAAAGTCGCCATCAACGATGCTAACCTTTTGACGCTCGAGGATCACGCCGGACATAGCGTCGTCGACGCCAGCGAAAGTGCCGCGATATTATGCGAAGATTATATAATCCTACCGCCGCCGCTTATATTAATACATACATATATATATATATATTAGTATTTATGTATACGAATATGTTAATATTCATTTATATATTCCTACAGCCGACGCCGCTGCCGCCGTATATGCCTCGTGTATAATGTTTCCCCCGCCACGCCCGCCCACAAAACACGGCTATACCTCGTGCATGATACGTTTACGTACTTAAGTCGCTTTACATGTATATATATATTAATTACTATTAAAATTAATATATTAATACGCTTTATTCTCATTAAGAGATATATAGTTTATTCATTCCGATTACAAAGGATGATTCCCGTATCGTCACTATCTTCACGTTGCGCGCCTGCTGCTTTCCTTGGATGTGATAGCCGTTTCTCAGCTCCCTCTCCGGAATCGAACCCTGATTTCCCGTTACCCTTTACAACCATGATATTGATAGTAACTACTATCATAATATGAAACTAAAAAGTGAAAAATAAATGTAGTTTAAAAAAACTAAAAACACGCTTTTAAAGCACATCGAACTAAAAAGTTAAAAATAAGTTTAAAATAATTATGAACAAAAAATACTAGTATTATTGTTATAAAAGCGTGAGTGCTTTGTGCCATATTTTTCGTATATTGAGCAATCGATGCTTTTATCACAATAATACTATTATTTTTTGTTCATAATTATTTTTAACTTATTTTAAAAATTATTTTTAACTTTTTAGATGGATGTGCTTTAAAAGCGTGTTTCTTTAGTTTTTTTTTTCTTTATTTTCCTGTTGGGGTACAATACACCAGTAGTTCTTATCGGTACACAAATATTATTGTATTTACCCGACTATTGTGTTATTCGTTTTAAATCCATAAACTTTAAAAGGTGATAGCTCGTTTAGAATTTATTAAAATTGATTTTTTTTTTCAAGAATTTTTTTTTTTTTATGCTAAACAAGATTAATAAAATATATATATAATAAAAGTTACATCGTAATTCAAAAAATGTAACTATTTTAGGAATACTAGCGATTCTACAATTTCATTTTTTTTCAATACAAGTTATATACCAGTGCAACGTGCTATCACACTGGTATCCTATCAATTGGTTATCTTGTTCCTAAACGTACCTACACTGACTATATAATTATATCTCATTAGAAGGACTATTTCGTGACCAATAAAATATTGAATCTCGATGAACAACGATATCAAGTATTTAATTATATTGAAATTTTATATATGTTTATAAACTAATTGGATCTCAAGGTATGCTGGTTGGTAATTCAAGTACTTTTCGTTCATTATTGTTTTAAGCTTATTTTAAAAATTATTTTGAACTTTTTACTTCGATGTGCTTTAAAAGAGTGTTTTTTAGCTTTTTTTTAACTATATTATTTATCCATGAAAATTCGCAGCTCTCAGTGGACTGATTTTAATAATCAATATAACAAATTAACCTGATTTTAATGTAGCATGGAACAACAAAAATTTGGAAAACCCCCACGTTTTTAGAAATTTAAATATATGTATACATATTTTTTTATTTAAAATAAAAATACAATCTGAATAAATATACAATAATTATTTACGATTAACAATATATACATGTAACAACGAATATCTTGTGTAGAGTCCTTTCAATGGAGAAACTACTACTGACACTAGTAACTTAAATTGCAACGTTTATATTACATTTTTGGGTTAAATAAGAATTATAATTATATTAACTTATATTTATTGTTGAAGAAGGTCTCTGCACGAGGATATTTTTAAGCGGTAAGAAGGGTTATCTGAAATTGTGATAGAGGACAGATTTTTAATAAGAGGGTTTGAATGATATTGGAGACTGTTGTGAATGTGTTTATATTGAGAGATAGCAGTTTGTTTAACAGTATGAAGGTGGAGGTCTTTATGATTATTTCGTTTAATATGTAAGATGAAGCGTTAAGAATTTGGCAAAGGCACTTGGATTATAGAACTTGAATTTTGTTTTAAAAATATAACTCAAAACTACGCTACCGTAAAATGTAACATTTTCAAAACAAATTTTTTTCTTTTTAAACCGATGTAATTTTTTTTGAAAAACACTGATCCAAATGAGATTTTAATAGAGTATACTAGAGACAATAAACTTTATATTTGTATGCTTTTTCAAAAAATCCGACAAAAATAAAGTTCAAAAAGGGATAAAAATTTACGTATGTCAACTATATTGAGAGTTCAGTATGTAAGGAAACAGGTCAATTTTTACAAATAATGAGAACAATAAAAATCCGTTTCATTACTTACTGAACACTCAATATATTTCACTGTGCTGGGTTTTAACAATAATTATGTATTAATATAACACAAAAATACAAGTGAATTAAATTTGTAGAAATTTAATTATTTTATTAATTAGCCATGACAACCACTGTATTTTTAGTCACCGTCTAGGATTGATTGGTATTGCACTACTATACAAATTATTAATAAGAATATTGTGATTATTTTGTAATGTGGTATAGAAGTGCTTGTAAAATTGAACAGCTACTACAGTTACAGTTTTTATATGGAGGTCTTTATGTATTTATAGATTGATATCTAAAAAGGAGTGTTATTATTTTTCTTAGAGCAATGATCTATAATTTTTAAATTTTAATAATATTATATTTCATTTCGTTGCTCCATAATTGTATACCATTTGTCTAAATTAATTTAATAAGTAATTTATAAATGATGATTTTGGTTTTAGGTTAGTATTTCTGATGTTTATTAAGAACGGCCGTTGTAAACAAAGAAATAAATTTAAAGAAATTTTTTTTTTATGAATATGAGTGCTCCATGTTAATTTTTTATTTAACAACCCCAGGACAGGTAAGGCGTCGTAATGTAAAAATAGTGTGAACCGATTCGTACTAATATTAATACACTATTTATTTTACCAATATAATTTTTTTAAGTCCTGTCGCGGAAAAAATAAAAAGGTGTCATTGGCACAACAAAAAGACAAGCTACTAAGCGTAGTTTATAGAGTATGCGTAAAAACCGTATATTAACTCCAAAAATAAAGTACAATTTTTATGCTGAAAATATAAAAGAAATAAAATACATTTCGTTCTTAAGTGATGGTTATAAACGGACAAAAAAGAAGGGACGCCTTGGAGACACGTTCGAAGCGGTCACACACGAACAACATAGGAGATGTGAAGACGGGGTGCCAGAGATTGTCACTCTTTGCCTAACACAAAAAATGAAAATTTTTTACATCAAAATAATATTTTTTGTATAACTTCAAGGGCCGTTTAGAAGATAAGTCGTCAAGACAAAATTTGGTTTTAACTTTTAGTATATAACATAAGCTTTATTTTAACATATGTTTGAAGCTCGGAATATTTCTAGAACATTTTCAAAACTTTAGTTGAAAATGTAAAATTTTTTTACAAAGTTGCTAATTAAAATCCTACCTCTGTAGGCAGATAAAGGATCAAACTTTGAAAAAAATTATCCCAAATAAGAGGAAAAAACATAAGGTATCATAAAAAAGACATTATCGTAAAATTAATACATTATCAGGCTCTCATCGAATTTAAAAAATACATATAAATATTATTGGCCAAATCTTTTTAAAGAAGATGTTACTCCTTTTATAAATACTTGTCATGAATGTCAGATTAATAAAAAGCTTTAGAGAAATCTACAGGAGAACTTCAGCATATTCTACTACTATGACATTCTTGGTTCATTAATCAGTAGTAACAATAATAAATATATTTTAATATAATGTTAATTTAAATTATTTATAGCAATAATTTTAATCGCACAGTAATATACAACTATTATTATTATTATTAAAACACCGCTAAAATATTTCAAAAAGTATTTGAATACTTGTATTCAAATACCAAACAACGCTGATTATTACTTTATTTATAAAATGTATTATGGTGTCACAGTCTCCAATAGTAATGAAATAATATTATATTTATGAATACAAAGTGTTTTTAAAAATACAAAGAGTCACTTTAGATTTTTATACCTCAAAACGAACTCTATTAAATTGATTATCAACCAATACAATTTTAGTGTGTCCATTTTTCATTAAATAAATCTAAATAACTGTAATTTTCAATATGTAATTTTGAAATTTATTTTAGTTAATAAAATTAAATGAAATATCTGTTTTTATTTTATTATAATTAATATAATAGAAAATATTATTTACTATTTAAAAAAATTATTTGAAATGACTGACATTTTACAAAAAATCGGATAGTTTTTTTACTGTTTATTACTTGTGTTAAGCCTATTAAAACTTGAAATGAATTATTCTTACCTTTTTTGCCACATAATAATAGGATCAGCTTCTACATCGTACATACTGATTGATCTACCATTTTCGAATACGTCCTTATGTCTCTGAATTAAAAACCAGCCTAGATACGAAAAGAAAAATCCACGTGTTGAATTGTAAGGATCTGCATTCGTGTTAAAAAATGTATGATGCACTCGATAGTCGAGAACCCATTTGTATATTGAGTTTTGGAACGATAACGTTTGAAAAATTGCTAATAGTACTCGCAAAGAAAAACAAGCCTTGAAACATTGAAGAGACCAAAGTCTATGAGCACCTATTGCTACACCTATATAAACACAGAAACAAACTAGGAAACCTGAAAAAAAATCAAATTTTAACTTTGAAAGGTTAATATTTAGGTAAAAAAATTCAATTAAATACAATTTAGTCTCTTTTATTTTTTTATGCCAAAATTTCTTCTTAAACTGAAGTTAAGCTAAAATATAGAGTTAACTTTTATATATTTCTATATATTCTTTATAAATATTACTTTAACCTAACTCGATCATTGGCCGTTAATATAATATATTATAATATATAATATAATACTTACACCACAATAAGTAACTCATTATTTTATGTTCCTCCTCCCAGTACTCCATACACTTTTAATAATACCTTACATATAATGCTTAATGTCCATAATAACTTGAAGCTTATGATCACTTTTTCTCTCTATTAAACAGTAAAATTTACTTTCTGGTTTAATTATTGAGTCTTTTAAATTTGTCTTTGTATTTTGCTCAAGGTGTTTTAATTTATCACTTTGTTATTAATCTGTATACAAATTGTCTCATAACGCTTATAACTTATTAAGAATTTTTTTTAATATTATTATTTCCTTACACATTGTTTAAAACATATTATATTATTTATCATAAGTAAAAAAATAGTAATTTTTATTTTTTTCTATATTTTAAAATAGACATTTTTAGTTTTTTTTTTTTTTATAAAAAATTTGATGGGTCCGATATTCACTTTGTGACATTTTAATACATAGAGTGAGTATACAGAGCAAGTAAAATATGTATTATAAATGTACACCATTACGAGCTGTACTTGTCCAAAAATTGCTAACACTCATTCAATTTTTTGCATGAAAATGACTAAAATATGGCTATTTTAAAATTTTAAAAAAATTATATTTTTATTTTTGATTAGTGATAAATAATAATAATTTTGTTAGGAACGTAGTTTAGGAAGTAATAATCATTTAAAATAAAAACTTAAATAAAATCATAATCGTACCAAAAGTTGTGTTAATAAGAGTTGACAGTTACGTCTGAGACAATCTATATATTCTTGTTTTCCTTTCTCTTGTAAATTACTGTTTGGTGTTAAATAATTAAAATAAAATATATTATAATATATTATATTTGAACGTCAGGATTTTATTCATTTGCGTATTTATTGGAAATATTCCATAAAAATAAAGGTTTGAAATCCAACGAATTTTGAAGTTTTTATTGAAATAGTATTTTCTTTTTTCATATTCAATAATAAAAGAAAATTTTGTATAAAAAAAAATATATATAATATATTTTTTTTTGTTATTGTGTAATAATTGATTACCCAATGAGAATTAAAAAAAAATCATTAATACAAAATAATTTTAAAAGTTTAACCAATTATCGCTAGTTTATTTTATTTAAATGTATATCTAGATATAAAGAGTTGTATACATTGAAAAGTAGAAGTGAAAATAAATTAGAATGTCATTAAGTTTTTTTATGATTATAAAATTACTAGTGTATTTTGAGTTTAAGAGAATGTATTTTAATAAAATAACATTTTTAATATATGTCACTGGTATTTTAAATATGGTATTATTTATAATAATATATTATATTACTGGTATTTATAATATGAAGATTATTTTTATCTTTTTTAGAGAATATTAGCATCATATTTTAATTATTTTAAAAGGATATCATTCCCACCTTTAGCACAAGTAATTAAAAATCTATTTTAATACATCGAAAAGAATGATATAACAATCATGACAATCAGTTTAACTAATACAGGAAAATTAATAAGTTCTCTTCGGCCAAAAAAATATAGAAAATTATATATGCATATATATTATTACATGCAAAAATGAATTAAGCACTCCCAACATTTTTTTTCTAGTTATTCTTTGTTGATCGATCAAAAACTACTAACTAAAATGTTAGAAAAGTGATGTATTTTCTTGGTAATTCAAATATATATATATAATAGAACATACTCGAAGATGATTAATCAATATCGACTATTCGAACAAATAATACTTGAATAATTAAATTTAGTTGTTGAAATATTAACTACAAAAATTTTCCAGAAAACTCTGGAATGACTAATATTTATGAGACATTGTATATTTATATAATGTATTACTTCATAAACTAGTCATTTAATAAATATGAGTAATCACTTACCAAATAATATTGTTTTCCCATATAGATATCCAGCATAAACTAAATGAATTCCATAAAATGCACTCAAGTGTAAAATTATTAGCGCAATCACATTTGGCCAAATTATTTTCCATTTGTAGTTATTGTTGTTATGTAATTGAGATTTTTGTAAAACATGGGGATGAACGATTTTTCGAGTGAATCCATTTCGTTTTTTTACTTGTTCAATTTGAATGTTGGACCAAATATTAACAAGAGTTGATGATGACGTCATTGATATTACAATAAACAATTATGATTTGGAATTTTCAAAAAACATATATATAGTCCACAAATACAAAAACTGCATAATTTTTTTATATCATTGTTTATGAATGAACAGACAAGATTGTATGTATATATTTTTATTTTAAAAGTGTTTTGTCAAACTAAAAAAAAATTAATTCGTGATGTTAATAATCATGAATGATCAATGTATCATAACAGTGTCTCTGTGTAATGAAATCTCATGCTGAAAAAAAAATTCAAAATATATTTTATAAGTATCTTCTCAGTGAAATTCAAAAATTTATTTATTCTATATTAATTAAATTTCGTAAAGTATTTTAATGTTATTTGATTTATACTTAATAAATTATATCATCATTTCTTTGTACTGCCAGTTAATAGACTGAGCTAGATAATACACATGAAGCGGTATATTAAAGTAGTGGTAGCGGAGTAGTAGGGATTATATCTCTACAGATGTTAAATTACAAATAGCGTAATGAATTTTTTGATTGGTTAAAAATTCTAGAAAAAAAAAGTTGGTTATGGCTATTACTAATAAGAGAATTATGGTTGAACCATTTTTTAAATGATTAAATGAATACAGTTATTCTCTGTACGGTATTGAGCTTGAACAATCATGAATCGTTTATAAATAAATTTTTTTAACTCGATTATTTTTGAAATATCAAAAATAAAAATAATTAATTTTTTGCATAATAATTACAAGAAAACTAGATATTTTTAAAAAATAAATGATAGAGTTGAATATTTAATAATTAATAGTTTCTTTCTAATTATTTTCATCTGTTAGGTTGATTAACACTAACCAATTATAGTTATTGGATTTGTATATTCTGAGAAAATTTAATCGACAAAGGTTTTCCGGCTTGTCTTTTGTACTATTGGTCATAATATACGCAGCCATTTAAATTTCTATTTGACAACCAATCTTATAATTAACAGTGGCTCGCAAAAAAATTAGTTAATTTAACTTCTCATATCATAAAATTTTGTAAAAATAATATGTCAAGTTACTACTAAAATCCCAGTAGTTGGTATTGGGATTTGTATATTTAAAGTTATATTCTATACGCATAAGTATTTAGTAATTATTAAATATTGAAATCCGTAACACACATACAATATAAATTAATGCATTTTCAAAAAGCTGTAGTTTCGCGGTGCAGCAGTATATTTTTCCAAATTGAGAGTATTCTATCAGGTATCATGCAACTACCTGCAGGTATTTTGCATTTATTCAAATCGTGAAATAACTACTAAGGAGTCCAATTTTTATCATAAAAATCAATTAATCAGAAATTGGGAAAATACCGAAAACGTGTTACCAGAATTTTACCATTATCTTAGTAGCCCATTATGTCAACTATTCGAATGATGAATCAATAGCCATTAAGACTATTCATTTTTTAATGGAGGGGTTAGCATATCGACTGTAAACCTTTCTTTATAATTATGCATATAAATAATCTATGATTGCCATACTTAAAATCCATTGTATTATCATTAAAAAATATTTAAGATTTTATTTTTTTATTATTCAATTACTTCAAAATAAAATAATACTGAAAAAGTATGCAAGTTCGTCTTGCACATTTCTGAGATTTTCTTCATTTTTGAAAATTTGCACATTTTTTGTATTAAAAGTATTTTGATCGCTTTATATTTGCTTAAAATGCATAATGTCAATTTAATTCGCTTATTTTATATTTTACTGAGCTGCTCTGATAAACTTTCAAGTAGCCTCAATTAGCGCCTTTATGTGTTAACTTCGTATTTTTTATATTAAAAGCGTTAGTACCGATATTTTTGATATTATTTGTATTCTAATAAATAATAAATTTATTTATAACGCAAATAATTGAATTGTGATTGAATAAAATGAGTTAACGACATCGTGGATGGCGGTTAAAAAAGTGTTTGCAAAGATGACGTAACATCGTAAAAGACTCCATAACTAACTATACTGAATTCTGAAATAAATCCAGAACTATCCATGAAGTGTAAACGGAATTCAGCTTTTTATGTGTCATAGAAATGCCTCTAGGCCCAGAATTTCTCTGGGCCATCGTCAACGTTTTTTATGGATCTGAGTTTATTGTATTTAAACATTACATAAATATTATTTTAAGAAAAAATATGATCACATTGAGAAATATATATATTAGGATGGGGCTTATTTTATAAACTTTCATTAATCGATCTCCGTACCCTACAATTTTTTTTTGTTATATGAAAGTCATTTGGATAAATTTTGGTTTTGACTTAACCCCCCCAGGGCCGAATCGGGGTTGAAAATTCGCTCAAAAGGGTAATTTTTCAGTTTTTGATCATTATTTCTAAAACTAACACACCTAGCGTATTGAATGTAAATTATAGATTTTAATAATTTCTTAAAAAAGGTATTTACAAAAATGTTCTAAAATTATTTTTACTTGCTCAAAAAAAATAGCTAAAATTAACTTTTTTAACATAAATCATTCTTAACTTTCAAAATAATCATTAAACATTAAAAAATTTTAAATTTTAAATAAAACTGTATCATTTGAGGAAATAGGTGATAAAAAAAATTTAATTTAAAAATCGATAATTTGTCACATTATTTATCAAAGGACTTACCAATCGACTTAATTACAAATAAGTCTTTACAACTTTTTAGATGGTTTAACATAAAAATAGACCCACAATTTTTATTAACTAAAATATGTGATAATTATTATTTATTTTTTGCAAACCGTACAAACCATTGGAGGAAGTACCTTAATTATAATTGTAATACGCTGAATAAACAGTTTTAATCAATCGTATTTAGTTCGTTAGTGTTATCACAACAACAAAAGTATACATTTGACTATAATTTTACATAAGACTAATATTTTAGCAAATTTAATTTTACATATTTTTTATACGAAATATTTTGTTGTAAAATGATTGTTTCGAAAGTTAAGAATGATTTGTATTAAAAAAATGAATATTAGCTAATTATTTTTCATTTTTTATTTTATTTTTTTGAGCATGTAAAAATAATTTTAAAAAATTTTTGTAAATACCTTTTTTAAAGTAATTAATTATAATATATAATTAATATCTATAATTTACATTCAATACGCTAGGTGTGTTGGTTTTAGAAATAATAATCAACAACTGAAAAATTACCCTTTTGAGCGAATTTTCAATCCGATTTGGCACTTGAGGTGGTTAAGTTATCAAAACAAAATTTTATTCAAATGATTTTCATATAATAACGAAAAATATTGGTGGGTACGGAGGCTGATTAATGAAAGTTTATAAAATAAGCGCCATCCTAATATATATGAATATAATAATTAATGTATAATAGTGTAATTATTATAAAAGATGAGTTACTTTTTTGTTCACGTATAAGTAATGGATTATAATACTTATAGTTTTAGGTTATAAAATTTTAATTGATAAATATAGGATAGGAAATGCAACGCATTGTGAATATTATAACCATTTTAGATCATCAATGTCCATATTTTATGAAGTTGAAATTAAGAAATATGTTTCTATAGACCTTTTTTTAGTCATTACTTTGCAAAAAAATGTTTGTATTCAAATGTGCAGCTTTTTTTACAACTCTATAGACCATGTTTCAGAATATTTATGTGGTTCACTTATTAAGGGAAAATTACTTTTATTTGTATTTATTTTATATTTAACAAATAGTTATCTGTCATAATAAAATTTGATCACTTGTGGCTAATTAATTAAATAAAATTCAAAATATTATTAATTTAAAAATATCAGTATGTGTTTAGCGTTGATAATGGTAACATTGTTTCCGAAAAACATATCCGCGATTTTCAGTAATTTTTTGTGACTTTTTGAGTTTTTAAATTAATAATATATTTAATTTTATTAAAGTTATTTTCCATAAATTTTATTTTTGAAATTTACAACATAAAATTAATGTAGTCATTCATCAATTTTCAATATTGTTTAATCTAATTAAAACTCATTGTAGCTAAATTTATATTATAACGACATTATATAACCAAATTGCCTTACGTCAACTCAGTTAAGTATACCTGTGTTAATCTATTTATACAATATAAAATTTGAGTTTATGAAGGTCGACCACTCGGGCAAAAAATAATTCATTTACGTAAGATGAGGTATCATGAATATTAATGTTATAATATAACAAAATTATAAAATAATAAAACGTTAAAAAAATAAAATAAATTATTGATTAAGTTATTCATTTTATGTACGTGTGTTTATTAATTATTTTGTTACCCAAGGAAAGCTTCAAAGCCTATAGTGGCTAATAAATATTTTAATTTAATATTAATTTATTTGATTAAGCATAAAAATTAATAATTAACAATATTTTAGATAAATGTAGTTTTAATATTGTAGATTTTGACGTTCTTTTTTTCGTCGAATGTTTATCTCTATTTACAATATAAGGGAGACAACTTTTTTTTAAATGACACCATATATAATTACTTACGTTAACATATATGAGCTAATTAAGACAATTACTCATCGATAACTACTTTAAGATTAGTATTTCAAAAGTTATTAGCAATTATATACCTAGGTGAAAGGAGGAGTTTGACCAGGGAATATTTAATAATAAAAATAACAAGACCCGCGACATGCATCCAATCACTACTTTTTATTATTACTGTCTTTTAATATACCAGTTCAAGCTTATTATCGACCTGTTATTTTCTTAATTAGGTTATTAATTAATAAATAAGCTAGTTAAATATGTACATTACATCCATTGAAATAATAAATTTGACACCTTTATAATGAATAAGAAATGAATACGAAAAATACTTCATGATTGATTAATTGAGAAAAACATGAAACTAAAAAAACCAAAAAAAAAAAAATTCTTAACATTATATTTATTTTTTAGTGGTAATGATAATATAATGTCTTTGTATATTTTAATAAATTGACAGATCAAAAGGAAATTTTGTCGTAAGTTAACTTATTTAGATATCTTCAAAAAAAAATAGTATATTTTTGTCTTAAACTTAATTGTTGGTAGATTTTAATATTTTATAAAAATACTTTTGAACGCCCTACTCTTTAGACATATATTAAAAAAAATCATTACACAATACTCATTACTAAAAAAAAGTTGTTCATAATCTTAAAATATTAATATACGATTAATATTTTTAGTCTTATTATTAAGAATAAATAATCCAAGATAAATAAGAAAGTGTTGAATTTGATTTAAAAGTATATTTTATATTTAGTATCAAAAATCTAGAATATTTATATATCACACATTTTTTTTGTCAGAAATTTTATTGAAAAAGCCACAGAAAAATTGTATTGATTAATTTAATTATTATATTTTAAATCGCCAAATTAGAATTAATTAAATATTTAAAGATATATTTTAAAATAGTTTATGGAAATTTCCCAAAGAAAAAATTAATATAATACGTGATTTTAATTTTTATAAAAATAAACTGGTTGTTTAAAGTATTGATGTCTTAAACATCAATTTTTATTTTATGGCCGTTAAAATTTACCATAAAAACATTTAAATCTATAAACTTTTTTTATTCGATTTGAAACATTTCTCGAAAATATTTTGATGATGATCTCGATTAAGGTTATAACTCAAAAAAGTATTAATTTTTGTTTAAAGTTTTATTAACAACACTTAAAAATTTGTATTACTAAATGCATTAAAAAAAATTTTATTCCATAAATTTTGTTTCAATTCCAGATATTTTGAATTAATAGTTAGTATAATTTTTAGTTAATAGTAAAAGAGTTGTGTATCATAGGAGAATCTTTGGGTTATGGTAAATGTAAGAGCGTCGCTATTTAATATTACCATGCTACTTTAAAAATCCTTAAAAGCTAATATCTTAATAATTAATTTTACAAAACTGGTATTATTTAATAATAATAAAAATTATAATGAACTTTTAAAATTTATCACTAAAAACTACTATATAAATAATTTGTTCTTGCAATAAATTTGATATTTACTGTGATTTATAAAAATAAGTATAATTGAAATCTGTACATTTCTATGAAAAAAATCATTATTTAATGAATAAATGAGGATAATATTCTTAATTAATCACATAGTAGATAAACTGTATTTTTCAGTAACAAAAGATCCAATAATACCATTATTGTGATGTTAAGCAAATATCGAAAATAAATATTCAGTGAAATTTAATATTTTAAAAGAATAAATAACATGAACATGCCACATGCATAGTTAAAATTAACACACTTTATTGATGTTGATAAGATTGAAGTTCATAGTAATAAATTCAAATGTGACACTTATAAATGTATAGAAAATGGAATAAGGCAATAAAAAAATGTAAATGTAAATTTTTTTTTTTGCATATAAATTAGGGTATACCAAAGAATTTACAAAGAAAATTTTGAGAGAGAGTGTGTTAACTACAAAAAATATTATCAATTTATATAAGTTATTAAGATTTTTCTTTTTAAAGACATAAAAAATAATTAAGACTCTAAAATATTAACTTCCTATTTATTTATCAGTATTTTTAAATTTCACGGCATTTTATGAAAGTTTTGTTTGAGTTTTTTATTCATTGTTATAAAACGTGTAATAAGTGTAATAACAATAAATTTCAAAGAAATTTTAAACAAACTTTTCTAAACTGTAATAATGGTTGAAAATTTAAACAAAAATGATTAAAATAGCGATTCCTATACTTGTTTGTTTTTTCTTCAGTATGACTATTGGGAATGAACAAGAAATACAAGGTTAAAAAAATGTCTATATTTTATAAAATATTCTACGTAATAGAAACGTATTTTCAATTCTAATTGTTGATGTATTATATTTAACTAACGATACCTTAATTAAAAATACAAACATAAAATTAAATCATTAGTCTCTTTTTTCACAATTACTATTATTCATTTTAGAATGTTCAAGACAAATTTATATGACAAGTAAGTATATTTTCTAATTATCAACATAATAATCTAAAAGTGATTTAATTGTTATAATAATACAGATTTTTCATTGTTCTAGATGGTGTGATATTTTCATTGAAAGATGGTATTGACATTTTTTTTTGTTAGTTTAATTTAAATTATAAAAACAAAAAAACTATTAAAAATCAAAATTCATAAAAATGAATGAATGATTTTTTATTTTTATTTTATGTAAATAAAATAAAATAAAAAAGTTAACATAAAATAAATTGAGAAACAATAAGACCATAAGTGCAATATGATTGTAGTTGATTAAAAATTTTTGGAAAAAAAGGATTATAAATTCATTAGTAATAAACAATTTACTAACAACAAACATACATTAATATTAATTTAATAAAATAATTTTTTCTTCTCGTTACAGAAGAACAAGATAAACTAATGAAACTGTTTATTGAGAATTTTACTTATGGTAAAAATATTTTTAGTAAAAATTTGTGTGTATATCACTCACGTATATATATTTTTTATTTTACAGAAGAAATTTTAAAGTTCCTTATTTTACCAGGTAACTATAAAAATTATCGAGGAACTTTTAATAACGCGTTGATTCTTTTGAAATAATTACATTGTAATCATTGTGGGTGTTAATGAAATTTATATTTTATTGTACATTATAACTATATACCACTAGTACAAAATAAAGAAGAATATATAAAATCATATTTCTTTGTTTCTTAGATATAACAAATTACGAACCCGTCTATTATAGTAAGTTTATTAATAATCATACTTTTCCAAAATAATTCTAAAATATATAAAAACCATATTTATTTATATAATTATTGGTTTTTTAGTTACTAAAAAAATTAATAATAATAGTAATAATAAAATATTATTATAAAAATAATTATCTGGAATATTTGCTATGAATCAATAAAACGTAACATAGTTATAAAGCTGAGTTAATTTTTTTTTTAGGTAATGTAGCTTTTGATTTAATTGACCAAGAAAACATTATTCAAGATTTAATTTTGAGAGCTATTCCAGGTATCATATTTTTATTAATTTTAATAAATTATGTGATATTAATTTTTATAAATGTCTATTTTAATTACTCAAATTTGAAATTAATCAAAACCTTAACAGCATCATGAAATTATACATTAGAAAGAATATTCTAAATATTGAATGTTAATAAATTAAATGAAGACTCTATTCAAAAACCATATTCTGGACGGTATAACGAAAAATTCAATACTATTTGACCTTTTATTCAAAATTTTTTTTTATGTTTTCTTTTGGTTAACGCTCTTTATAAAATCTATTGATTATGCCAGAACTAATGGGTAAAACCTATACATTCCAGCGCAATGGAATCAAACCCTAGTTTTATACACCACGTTACAGTGCGTTATCAATTACCTAACTCAATTGATACCTACATATTTCACCTAAAAAATAAGGTTTCAAATAAAAGTCTTCATCCATTTGCAATAAAGATTATTTTATAATAATTCAACTAATTATTATTAGTTAATGAATTGTAAAAGTCTTCCTCACTTTTATTTCTGTAGATGAACTTTAATTACATTATTTAACTTTTAGTATATTATACATGCAAATATACTTAGCTATAACATGAATTATATGTTATATGTTCTCGATCAAAGTTATATTATGTTAATATAGCTTTATAAATTTATGCATAAAGCTCAGAGAAACGTATAAAGCAAAAAAAAAATTAATTTTTCAAACAATTTTATCTCATATAATAAAAGTTGATCACTTGTGGCTAATATTAATATTGAAATTATATATATATATATATATATATATATATTATTAATTTAAAACTAAATAATATTAAATTTAAAAGTATTTTAAATGTAATCCCATCATTTTTGTTGAATTAATTTTTGAACCATTTAAATTTAGAGGTACTTTGATTTAAGTTACAATTTTTAATACTGTATTTATATAATTGTAACATAATTCTACAAAAAAAATTAGAAAATACACTAAAAAAAAATGTTAAATGATATGTTTCTCTGATGACATATGATTATATGTTATCACACTTGTTACTTACAAATAAATTTTTATACAGGGATTAACTTTGACAAATTTTATACAAACAGTAAGCATATTAGTATTGTCATTTTTTTAAACAGTCTAGATTGATGACAAAGACTAAGGGAATATTAAATTTCCCTTCATATAATTTAAATGCTAACGTGTATCTTTAAAATAAGTGTTTAACGAAAAAAAAAACTAAATTTTATATCCCAAATTACTTTTTTTATTTTTTAAATACTTATATATTTATTGGGTCATATTTACCCAATAAATTAACTTTATAAAAGTTCTTTTTAGTTTCTACGAAAAGCAATAATTTATTCTTTTAAATAAATTATGTTCAATAATTTATTCCATACTATTTTTTTATAGTATTATTATAGCTCGACAATTATCTTTTATCACTGTTATTATTTTTAAAATTATGCAAGAAGTTTTGAGGGTATATAAATGTCCATCCCGAGACGGTCGAGTACAATAACTGATACCATCACAATGTCTTCAACTTGTCCCCTCATTCGATAGTTATGTTTTAAAAAATTACCTAGTAACACAAATTATTATTCTAAATTCATTTTATTTCAGAATATTTCCATTTGGAAGACTACACGTTGCTAAAAACTTTTCGAAATATTGACATAGCTTTAAAATTGTTGAGTAGAGCATACCGTTTTACATTTGGTAACTAAAAACTTAGTAATTGTACACAAAGTTATCAGATTGTCATAAACCACTCTATTATTCACAAAATAAATACAAATTTTGAAGAAAAAAAAATTATTAGTTATATATATTTTTTTATTTATCAGCCATTAATTCCATTTTAGAATCATCTCTTATTACTTATAGAGGTATAAAATTTATTTAACTAGCTTATAAAATATAAAATTATCTAATTAATAAAATGATTGGTTGATTACAACTTTTGGACCAGCATTTCGGAAGTTATTCGCAGTTTAAAATTATGACTGGAGTTAAAGAGTGGGTGCTGCTACTTTAGTCAATAGACACTTCTCGGTTGCATTTCTCCTCCAGACAAGGTATGAAAATGAGATTAACATCCAAATTGCTGGTACAAAAGTTGTTATCGACCAGTCATTTCCTTAATTAGAAAATTTTCTATTTTATGTTATCATTAAAAAAATTAAGTTAACACTCCTATAATTTATAATGGATGATTCTAAGAAGTAATTAATAGATGACAAATCACGATATATATAACAATGTACAATATGAATGCAATTAAAAGAAATTTATTTATTTTTTCAATTTTGTATTAATTTTCTAAGTAATTGTGTGAATTTAAAAAAGATAAAACAATCACTCAGTATACTTTATCTTGAGTTTAAAATGATAATTATTTGAATAAACCAGATTTAGGTTAGTTAATAAGACAAATAATCTAATACTTAATTATTGGTTATTTTTAGATTATATATTTTTTAAATTCTCTGTTTCTGAATATTAATAGTTAAAAACAATGTACTTTTTTTTATAACCATTTACCATGTAATAAAAGCACAAACTTGAAAGTTTTAAACAGAGTCATTTTGTTTTAATAATAATGACTTAGTTAATTCAAAAATCCAAAACTAATACAATGACAACACATTTATAATTAAAATTAAAAAAAATATATATTTTAACATTAACTCTTATTGTTTTAAAATTATGAAATGTTCATACATTTTTGGTTACTTCAGTTAATATAACTTGTTTTTTTAAGAAATCAACCTACCTAATTAAAATTGTAGTTATTATAACTCGAAATAAATTTTGTGCTTGAGGCGTAATGTTTTATGCTGGTTTAATTTTAATTCTGATTAATGTAATTCCATTTTTATATTTAAACAATTACATTTTACTCTTTTTAGGAAATAATAAAAATTGTGTAGAAGATGGCATAATAAAATGCAAAATAATAGCTTTATTAAAAAAAACGAAGAATAACAATATTCAACATCAAAACTATCGTTGTACTAAAGACGAATATTGTGTAATTAAAACAGTTTACAATGATGGCAATATAACTATTAAAAGATATTTTGACGAGTATTATGAGCCTTGGAATGAATACGCTGCTGTTACAATAGTTAATGATAAAATAACGTATGATTTTTTCGGAAATCTAGATTAAACAAAAAAAAGTTATTTTATGTATAAAACAAGAGTGAATAATATAAATATAAATAAAAGTAATCAAAACACATTATATCAACTTTGCGTTATTTTTTATTTAAATTCAAAAACATTAATTTAATTTATTCGATATATAAATATAATTAATGTAATTAATGTAACTATAAATTTATGAACCATTGTCTAATATAAATTAAACATTAATATACTAATAGTTTATTATAATAAAAACAATAATTTATATAAAAATAATTCAAACAATCGTAATACTCAACTGTTATAAGAAGAAAATAAAAATAATACAGAATGTATTTAACTTGCGCTGTGGGAGCAATACTTAACTGAGGCGCTCAGAAGCTAAGCCTATTAACTCCAAATTTTTAAAATCACTATTTTAATCCGACCATTCTATTATCAACACTATCACTAACCATGTTATTATTAACGCTTTTTGTAATAATAATAATATTGGATTAAAAAGTGAATTTTTTTGAAAGAAAATGATTTAAAAAATGTTGAGTTGATCGGTTTTGGCTTCTGAGCGCCTCAGTTAATAATCTGTGGCTTGCTGTAAAAAGGACCAATTAATATTACATCAATATTTTCACACGAAGAATAGCACAAACATATTTATACATTTTATATGGATGATGAAAAAAATATTTTTGCCAACTGAAGAAATTTGTTAAAATTTTGTGACTCTTTTGATTATTATTATTTATTTATTATCTTTTTGGTAGCAATCTCATATATTGAAAAAATGCCGACTAATTTATATAAATATTGACGAGAGTTGGCGTGGGCGTCTTCTGTCGAGACGACGCTAGTTATTGTACTAAATCACAGAAGTGTATTTTGGATTTAAACAAATAATTTTTTGATGTGGAACATTATTGCGGCGGGTCAGACCGGTTATTGGCATGCCGACCATCGTCACACGTGGCTATTCTCCCGCTCGATTCAACGATCCTCATTCTCACTGCGCTGAACTCCTACACCTACAGCGTATACATGGGCACTCATTAAGGGGGGACATGGCCCATAGAAAGTTTGGTCATTCCCTCTCTCCCAACGCGATAAACTCGTATACCTATGTCGTAGCACGGACTTCGAAACGAGTTGCCTGTGTTTTATTTGAAGGTAATAACTGCAACAATAAAATAAGCATGTGATAGATAAGAACAAAGTTAGTTTTTTGTAAAAATAGCAAAATTCACTTGGTCACACAATCAAACAGTTGCGTCGACTTCTCCTAAATACATATATTGTGATGCAATACATATACAGTATGGTTTATTATGTGTATACTGCCAACATTTTTTCGTTAAATAATGTTATTTTCATAAATATGTACACATCACAATTTAAATTCATTTTTATAAGCCATTGTTTATTGTAAGAAAAATTATTTCCAGTGTAGATTTTAGGGGTAACTTCCAAAAGATCAAAAAAGAACAATTTTTTTTTACTATTAAATGATGTATGATTTATATAAACTTTTAACTGCCCGATAACCAGTTTTTTATATTTTTTAGTTATAGGCGATTGAGATGCGCAACGCAAAAGAATTTTTATCTGTGCGTTATGGTAAAAATACAGCGTCTCTAAACACTATCACACTACTTACCTTTTCGAAATCTTCAAATGCTAATAACCTTAAAAAGTAATAATACAAATCTAAAAAATATTGACAAATCGAAATTTTATTTGGATTATTCTTCATTTAATAGGAGCAAGAATAAGTCCTTGTTAAACTTTCGAAGGTTATCCCAAAAATTTATTCTTTAGATATAATTTTTTAAACCATATATTTGATATTTACACGGTTCGAAAATGTAATTAAAATTTAAATATGTTCTTTTTATGAAAAATGTCATAATTTAATGAAAAAATGGAGAGTATTATACTTAATATACACTATATGTAAAAGATGGGTGTTATTTAGAGAAACATGATTAGGATAATGAATATCCGTAATTTAATGAAAAAGATACAAATCGTATAATAAGTAATGATCAAAAAGCCATAAAAAAAGTTGGAGGTGTTCGTGTTCAAGTAAAATATCTTTTTTATTATGCTATTTATATAAAATTTGACATCTTAAATCTAATAATAAAAGCCCAGAAAATGTTAAGTATATTTTTATAATTAAGGTGTGCAATTGTGTTTTTACACTGTACTCGTTCCTGTACACTTAACATCAGGGACGTATATTTCATTTTTAAGTTCATGAAATCCATGAAAATTTTTACATAAGAATGTGAACTTCACATGACATTTAAAAATATTTTTAAATGATTATGAGTCTATTAATATTGTTTTGGTGTGCCATACATAATTTATATACATATTAGTTTCGGATGTTTCACATCTGCAAGGCATAACGCGACAAATAATATTTTTTTCATTTTTATTAAACGTTTTTCGTGAATATCTTAAACAAACCAAAAATTTGAATTTATAAAGTTAAGAAATCAAAATTAAAAATGTGCATTTTTCGTTTAATTTCGATTTTTAACTTTTAATTACAATGCAAAGCTGAGAAGTTTATATTATGATAAATTATTTCTGATTATTAATTATAAATCAATAAGGAATATTAATCATTTCTATATATCTTTTGTTATTTAATAAATGCTAAAATCGAATTATTCAAAAATTATTCAATTAATAAATATATTCCATATATTTATATATTTATATATTATAGTATTCTATAATATACATTCAGAAATATTCCGTACCTAGTTTCTTTTATGATTTCTTCTGCTGTTGTGTTATTGAATTTAAGTTAAACCTATATTTTTTTTAATTTAGTACTCGTTTTTAACTAATTAGTAATAATATAGAAGATTAGTGGTATTAGAAATAAATATAATTGCAGATTTGAAATCAAATCAAAAAATTGATCAAGAAAAGTATATTTTTGACTCTGATGATAATTCCTTGTAGACCAGTGTATTTATTCATAATAAATAAAACATTATCTTTTATAAGGTTTTGCATCAAGTCTTTCAATTTTTATACACGTTTTCCATAGAAGTAACGAAGTATACAACTGATTTATAATTATTCATAATTTGTTCGTATATAATTACAATATTAAGTTATTGAATATCAAAACATACTGAATTTAATTTTGTAATATGTCTTTTATAATATTAATATAAAATTTTTTCAACTTTCCTAAAATTATTTCATGATGTTTAATAAGAATTGTACCGATTTTTTGTATATTTTCAATTGAGTTTAATTTTCATTTTTCAAAAAAAAAACTTCTAGTATAATTTTTTTTCTTGGTTCAACTTACAATTATAAAACTTTAACTAACAGATAAAATAGATATTGTTATATGAATTTAAAAATATTAAATTTGTGAATTTCGAATAAATATAAAGGAAAAAATTTTCTATTAATACAAAAAAAAAAACCAGAAAAATCTCGAAAATTTGCAATAAATATTGTTTTTATTTTTTGTATAATTTTCTATTGTTGTTTTGTTTTGAAATAATTGAAGAAATTATATAATACAATCTACTATATTTTTCAACAATAAATATGAGATTTATTTAGAGTTTACGTTTGACAATTGTATAAATAATTATAAAGATAGGTTTGTTTCAAAGCGATTTGGTGAATATGCTTTGATATTAAATTTATACATAATACACATTTACTTACCGAGTTATTTTGTAGTAACTATTTATCAGCAGATAAAAGTCTCAACAATGCTACAAGAGAATATTTATATGAAGTGGTTCTGTATAAAAATTTGTTATACAAATAGCTATAAAAATATATTAATAATGAGCCCATAGACGGATAATTGATTAAAGGCTTAGATACCCTCCAGTTATTATTATGCCTAAATTAAATTTAGTAGTTCATAACATTGAAACCCCTGTAATGTTCACACAAATTTTTTAATTTGTTTTAAATAATTGAATTGCAAAGTAAAAAATAGTAATTTCCTGGTCCGATAAACAGATACAATTGGATCGAATTTTTTTATAACACAGTAGGCCGAAGACCTTTAAGTCCGACCCTAGTTTGATGTATTTAATTTGAAAAACGACTGAATCAAGTAAGCACTACAATGAACTAAAAATAATAATTTTTTGAATTCAATATTTTTTAGTTTTAAATGAATTTTTTTAATTCTAAATAATTTTAGACACCAATGATCAACTACAATCATATTTTTTTATAGTTAAACATTATGGTAAAAATTTAAAAACTGTTGTTCTACATTTTATTTTAGTAAAATAGGGGTAAGTTGATATGAACTATTTTCTCAGTTTTACATTAAAATAAAAATAAAATATCATTTGAACACTTGAATTATCACATAAATCATTTTAATATAAATTTTAAGAGTTAAAATTTTCATCTATATTTAGCATTATTTTAATTCGAATCGTAAATACTTAAGCAATTAACAACCATAGATTTTAAACTAAACAAAAGTTTTTTTTAATTCGAGAAAAGCCATTAAAAATATCACATGATAAATTACTGAGAGTGTTATATAAAGATATACTTTCAGTACGATTTATTTAATCAAATTACAATTTATTAGTTCTAATGTTATATTTAGTGTTAGGCGCTTACCCGGATAGTTCCTATCATTAGTTATATAAAATGGGTCACAAATTGTAAAAGTAGCGTTTATTTACACAGTAACTCTTGCACGTGACAACTAATAAATTACAATAAATAATTAAAAGGTTTGACTTATTATTTAAAGCGATTTTTATTTAAGTACAAATAGATTTTATTATTTATACTATAAATCTTGCATTTCAATATTAGTTATAGTGAAAAATATTGTAAAGATATTATTAAACATACTTAAAGTAACAAAGTATATGCGCTTTGGTTTTACTTAATTTGAGGGCAAAATGTATTTATACTTTTATACTAATAAAATTCTTAGTTACCATCAAATAATTCATAATGTTTATTTTTTTATCAAAGGTTATTTATCATTAGATTTTTATTTTAAATGTTCTAATAATTTAACTTAATTGTATTCTATACATGGAATCTTAAAAAATGAATTAAATCAAACCAATTTAAAAAAAACCCAGCACAGGGGGATTGTGGCTTGTATATAAATACTACTTCTCATGAAAAAATTGTATTGATCCATACATTTTTTAAAAAGTTATAGCACTTTAAAGTAAAAAATGTCAATTATAAAATCGAAAATTTTCACACAAAAATAGCATTCAGTAGCCGTTTTCACCACGAAGACAAGTCCAGAGGTCCAATTTTTTTTTTCATATTAAAGTACATTACATTAGCTTTAATTTAACATATATATAAAAGTGTCAGACCTTCCGGAACATTTTCAAAAGTTAAGTTGAAAAAGCTAATTTTTTGTGAAAAAGTTGTCATTTTAAATCCCCCTCTATGGGCAGAAAAAAGGTTAAATTTACAAAAAAAATATACCAAATAATAGGTAAAGACATCAAGCATCTACAAAAAAAAAAATTATATTGATATGTTCATTTTTGAAAAAGTTACGGCAGTTTTTAGTAAAAAAAATTGAAAAAATTACGAAAATTAGCAATTTTTAAATTTGTAAGAAATCCTGAGCTGAGAAAAAGTGGTAACAGACACAAAAAAAAAAAAACACATCATAGTAAAACCAATACCTTCTCAGCTTCGCATCGAAGCTAAAACCTAATTTTATAAATATTATAATCCAATTAAACACTTAAAAACTCGATATAAGGGTTTTCGATTTTACTTTTGAATAGATCATCACTTTCATACTTGAGAATAAAATTTGAACTTAATGAAGTGATAATTACCATTATTAAAACGATTTTATAGGAAACAATTGATTGATAGTTTGAAAAATTGTTAGTTGGAAAAACAACTCAAATCTTATAATTTTATAATGAACAACAAAAAAGGTAAACCAGAAAGCAAAAAATATTTGCATAAAATGTTTACAACATTTATATCTTTGTATAATATTGTAGTAATATGCTCAATGCTTTGCATGACGCATCTTCTAATTATTAATGAAAAATGTATAATCTGTATTTTAAATAACTTGTAAACAAACAAATAATTTATCTGTCATAACAAATACGATGTTCAACACAATTTCTTATTATTTATATATATATATATGTCAATTTATCAATTGTTAAATATGTTATCTGAATATAATAATCCTGTAATGTATAATTAATACAATAAACTAAAAAGATTACTAAAAGCGCTGACAACAATATCCCTGGATTGGGGGTAATATCATTTTACTATAAAAAGCACTGAAATCCTTTCAGTCAAGAGAGTCAGGGAAAGACTCCAGAGAGACGAAAAAAAAAGAAGAAGTAACAGCGACCAAGAGAGTTCGTTTTCTCCGAATTAAAATAAGAATAAAAAGTAACAATTATCAGTCACAGCCCTGTGTTGTTGTCGGCTGACTTTTATGCGTTTTATTTATATATGAAAAGAACTTGCTTTAATTATTCATCTTTTGACGAAGTGCTAATTAAATACTTTTAAACATATATAAACATATCGAGATAATTATCAAATCATTTTACAAGCAATTTACAAGAATAAAAGAAGTAAGTAATTTTATGTTATCCCAATTATTTAAAGTTAATAGTTTGAGTAAAGGATGACAAAGCAATAGATCATTTATTAAATTAATATCTTAAAGTGTCAATTTTGACTGGTTGGTTAAAGAAATTATACATAATCACGTTATATGGTATTCGTGAACTGGCTCTGCCGTTTCGTTGCCTTAAAGATGTTTTAAAAAACCTAGCGTGATTTCTACTGTATAAATTAGGCTCTGGTATTCGTGAACTGGCTTCGCCGTCTCTTTGCCTCTTAGTTAGGACATTAGAAACTAACCAGACAAAAGTTTATTCTACCTCTATAAAAGGAACTTAATATATATTTTTATATCTACTTGTCTTTGTCGTTCTAAACCCTCGAACCATACGACCCCGATAAAACCACAACATCAGGTTCTCACTAAGCCCATCATTCATCTTTCATTTTCATTATTTATATTTTACCAACTCTGCCTTCTATATTTTTGAATTATAACAATATATAAATATATTGAAGATATAAACAAATTGTTTAAAGCTTTTTTGCTGAATATATTATGAATTTTATTATGTTTATTGTTAAAAAAATAAATACAATATATTTTGGTTTATTAGTATTTATGATCAAATATATTTATTTTCGTTTCTCATAAAAATTAAATAGACAGTTACAGGTTAAATTCTTCTTCATACCTGAAAGCATGAAAGTATTTAGATAAAAAATAATCAAACATAACCTTTTAAATATTATTCAAATTTTTAGTTTCTATGCAAAGTTGATAATGATCGTTAAAATCATGTTATTTTTGTGTTAAAATTTATGTTTTTATATTTTATATTTACAACTTTAAATTGCTATAACATGTTTAAAAATCTATACATTATTACAACTATTTTTTTTATAACTATTTACTATATATCTTATGATCCGACATACTGTTTATAAAAACAGACCATTTCTTCTTATACAGGGGAGGGAGAAGACAAAACTTGAAACTTATATAAAAATAGTAAAACTTTTTCAATTTAACTTTTAAAAATGTTTCCGTACTCTATGCTTCAAACGTGTGTTAAATTAAAGCTTATGTCACACACTAAAAGGTATAAATAAATTAGTCCCGATACTTTATCATCTATTATTAAACNCACTAAAAGGTATAAATAAATTAGTCCCGATACTTTATCATCTGTTATTAAACAACCTCCAAAGTTAAAATAAAATGTGTTTTTTGATACAAAAAATAATCGTTTATCATGTTGTTATAATTTTTTATTTTCATTTATTTATGTTCATATATTTGGTCAAGAGGTAAATTTATATGAATTGGTGGGAAATAACTATCCCATTAAACCTCCTCTTTAATAAAAAGATTTAATTGTTATTTATAAGTATTTTCGGGGAGAATTATTGCAACTTTTAAAATCAATTCAATGTATATATTAAAGTAGGCTGCCATTTTCTAAAAGAATATTTAACAAACAATAGCTTATGAAAAATTGAGATAACAAAATACAGAGTTATTCTTTTAACTTCTACTCGATAGCCACTTTTAGACACTCAATTTCTCTTCAAATAATAATTATATTAAGAAAATCCATTTGGTATTTTTTAATTTTAGTATTTCTTGATATCTAATTTATAATGATGTTTCTAGTTCATCCTTTTTGCCTTATAAGATACGAGTTTTATTTTTTTAAACGACAATATACATATTTAAATGACTTATAAAATAAAAAATGATCTAATTAAGAAAATGATTAGTCAATGACAACTTATGACCCATTATTTTAGAAATTATAACTATTTTAAAATATTGAGTTGTGGGTGAAGTGTGGATTATCTTATTTTTATCATTTAATCAATATTAATTTAATATTTAATGTAATAGATATAATTAGTATGTATTCATATATTATACTTAAAAATCATAAAACATGTAATCAGAATATAATTAAGGAAACAGAGTTCATGTTATTTTTGGAATAATTCAATAATTTCCTCTAAAAATTAATCACTATCTACAATTTTGCATTGAATCATTTTTTATGGTAATGGTTTTAATCACTGTCAGATATCTATATTCTTCCCATTTATGCCTCGCCCCCTCCCCTGTGCGTGTTTTTAATTTTTTACGTTATATTTTTTTTAGTTTTAATAAACAAATATTTATATGTTGACGTAAAATTTTAAAATAAATTTTTAATATATATTTTAGTGCAATCTTATTCAGGTACAAGGAAACATACTTTTTAATGTCATTATTCGCTTTTAATAATATTCATATTATTAAACAAATAAATAAAATATACGTTTGTACACATAAGTAAATATAGGTTTGGTAACAAGCTACACATGTAAAGACATACTAAAAACAAATATGGGACGACCATAAAATTATTGATAATTATGCGGCTTAGTATTATGCCTAAAACAATAACACTGGTGAACAAAATCAGAACTTTGTTGTGTCATATAAACTTTTATATTTTTACCTTCGATATGAAGCTGACTAGTTAAAAATTTAACATTACTATTTACCACAACATATAATACAAAATTATAATCTAGTACATCCATTAAAAATGCATTTAAACTTTTCACAAGTTAAATATCTTCAAATCTATTCTCAACTCTAACAATTAAGAACTAAGTTGATAGTTTTGTATGCCATTAAAATTAATAATTTGCAATACACAATGATTATAAGTATTATTTTTCGAAAAAGTTTTGCTATTGTCAACATAATAATACATTTCTCACAGATAGCATATTTTTCTTCGTAGAATTCTTGTTGTTTAATATTGTGCAGTTGAGAGGATTTCTAAAAAAAATGTTAAGTAAATATGTCAATCATTTCCTGGAAACAAATTCATAATATTAAAAATAAATAAATAGAGTAGCAGCATAGCTTAAAAATTTAAAAGATTTTACAATACATTTTTAATTTGGTTGATTTATTAGAAGAAATATTAATAACTTTCAGTACATACAAATATTTTACTTAAATATCTATAGAATACGAAGTCCTCCGTATTAAAAATATTCTAGTTCCGATAATTTTTTGTTTCGACCTATGCTAAGAAGGTATTAATTTTACTATGATGTGTTTTTTTGTGTGTGTGTTTGCCTGTTACTACTTTTTCTCAGCTCTCATCGAACCGATTACTTTCAACAATACATCAAAAGATCACAAATCGTATTTAGTCGAAGACATTACCATCAAAAATTGAAAAAATTGCCTCGTTCCTTGTAAATGGCGAAAATCTCAAAAAGAATTACAAATTTAAAAATCACTTATTTTCGAAATTTTTTCTATTTGTTTTTACTTAAAAGTGCCATAACTTTTTGAAAAAAAGATGAATAGAAACTAATTTTTTTTTATAGATATATTAGGTATTTACCTATTATTTGATATACTTTTTTTTGGAAAATCTGACACTTTACCTGGCCACAGGTGGAGGGGGATTTAAAATGACAACTTTTCCACAAAAAATTAACTTTTGAAAATGTTCTACTAACACTTGTATATATATCTTAAATTAAGGCTAATGTAATATACTTTACTATGGAAAAAAATATTTCGAACTTTATTTTGTCTTCATGTTGAAAATGGCTACCGTTTGCTATTTTTGTGTTAAAATTCTCGATTTTATATTTTACATTTTTGATTTTATATATCTATAATTCTTTGAAAAATGTATGGATCAATATAATTTTATTATGAGAAATATTATTTATGTACCTCTTTCATTCGACATACTTTTTTTTTAAATCGGGCCATTTACTTTTATACAGTGGGGTTCAAAAGTTTAAATATTTGTGTTTTACTACATAATCCAACGAAAAACTCAAGATCCTTCATAGTAGCTTAAACAAAATTTAGAATTGCGTATAATTTCTAACAATAAGCAACTATCCTCCCCCACGTATAAAAATATTAATAAATTTCGATATATTAGTCAAAGAATTATTATAGATCATTTCCTATTTTATGAGTTAGATAAATATATATATTGGCATTTAAAAACTAAAAAAAGCTTAAGTCGATACTCCTGAAAATTATAAAAAATGATGCTAACAAGTAATTAGTAGGTAATAAATAAAAAAATAAGTAATTAAATAAACCCAAAATATTTTAATCAATATTGAGAAAAATTATGCCACTACTACTTTACTGCTTATCCATGAAATACTATTTTACAGTTCAAAAAAATTGTATAAATGAATAAAGTTTCAATACCTAGTTATGATAAACGAATCATTCTGCATAGAAATGATAAGCTTTCAAAAAAATTGATCACTAAATAAATTTTAATTTTATTAATTTTTGAATAGTTAGAAGCGACGCCGAATAGCCAAATATAAATTATTCCCGAAATATTAGCCGAATACATTGGTAGTCTAAAGAGTGTAGATGATGTGGGAGATTGTGTCAATAAGAAGTTTAGGATAAGGGTGACCGACCCCAAATAGTTGGGATTAAGGCGAGGAAAAAGAAGAAGACATTGGTAACCTAAAAACATAATTAGCATAAATGACATCATGGAATTTTTAGAATCTACATATATCAATATAGAGTTATTATTTTATATAAAAAAGTTCTATTTGTAAAAATATTATACCTTGAAGTTGAATTATGTATTTGAAATTAAAATAACTTAAGGTATTAGGAGTTAATTTTATTGCAATTATTCTAATGATCCAAGTTGGTCAAGACCGGGTACGAAAATGCTTTAGAGACAAAACAAATGTATATTAGTTGTTTTAAGTATATATTAGTTTAAGTGTATATTATTTTAGTTATAAAAGTATATTAGTGAAAATAACTTTTTTTTTTTTAAGTGTTGTAATAGTTTCAATTGATAATTAGAATGTACGTTCTTCTATTTACACAAAACTTGGGAAATTGTTCAATTATTAAAACACTAACTGTTCCAAAGTCAATTGAAAATTTAAGTCAGCGCGAGCTATAATTCTATTGCATGAAGCAAGTTTTTATTCAATGTTATAAAATGTAAATACTACATTTTAAATATAAATACTTACATTCTAGTATATAAAAATTGAAATTTTGGCATTAGACCTTTAATAAAATAACACGATATGTTCATTAGCCAATTATAAATTAAGGTTATAATTAAATATATAAACTTTATTATAAATTATACCCCTTGAACTATTAAGAAAAATACTTCTAGGTAGTCATTGAAACAAAATATTGTCAACACCGTTAAAAAGAAACTAAGTTATTTTATTTACTTTTTCTTGGATATTTTTAAATAAGAACTCCATGAAGTATTATAAAAGAGTTTAAAATTCTAAAATAATTTAATAAATATACATATTTTTCACTTAATATAAAATATAGAAAAATAATAAAATCAATTCATAATTTATTTCAATGACAGATACGACATCAGCTAAGAACTACTAACTTTGAGGAAATCATTAAGCGAATGTTTTCGGTTAGTATTTTCAATATTAATTATATATGATTATATTTGATCAATGTATAGTATAAATTTAAATGAATCAACTTCAAAATCGATTCGGATTCACTGGCGTAATCATAGGGGAGATATAGTTTCATTTGAAGGAGATGTGAAAATTTTTTTGTATAAATCTACTCCAAAACGAAATCATAATAAACCGGCAGGCGTAGGTTATCCTAAAACTTACAATAAAAAACAATAATGATAAAATTAAAGATAAAAGTGTGTTTAAAGATATTTTAAAATAAGCCAATCAGAACAAACAAATTCTAAGAGTGCTTATATTTGCAAAATACGCGTTTTTGTACAAACTTATTCAAAATAAACTAAATGTTGAATTGGAATAATTCGATAATACAATTTAACTATTTACAAAGGTAAATAGTGCGCCTGTTCCTCAAAACATATTAATTAAAAAAGGCGATTTTTAAATAAAGAGCGGTTAATCTACTTTTATAAATAAACGATTATTATGAAATGCAGAACTAAATGAATTTATAAGACAAGTGTGTAATTTTTAAAATACAACGTCATTTTGGTTTAAGATTGAATAATGCATTTACATAGCATTATATATTTATTTATATAATATATTTACATATATTTAAAAAATATATAGTGCTATATAATTGTATGATGAAATATTATAACATTCCTACGTAATTAACTATCTAGTCCATTAAAAAAAAATACTATTTTAGAAGCTACTTGAACATTTTTAACAGTAATTAAATCTTTGCTTTAATACTTTATTTTTCAGACAAATGTCATCTTATAGAAAAAAAAATATTATGTCGAATAAAAATGATGAAAAATTCATTAACTACCGATTGTTTAAGATTCTCAAGCTCAACCGTTCATTTAACCCGTTTAATCTGGATGTTTTACGAAAATTAAAATATTATCAATTTTTATATGGATTTGTATTACTTTTGGAGATAATAATTATCAACTGCTGTTTATTAAAAGGGTTTTATTATGTAATTAATGATATTGCTACTACCGTGCAGCTTTTTCTATCATTACTCTGTACAATCAGCACAAATCTAAATACCTTTACATTTTCTCAACATTTCAACGATTTTTGGAAACTATTTAGAATAATGAGAAATGACTTTTTGAGTTATATGCATAATAGAAAAGATATATTTCAACAATACCAGACAAAATGTATACTAATAACAAATATTTATATTTTTGTTTACTTTTTTACTGGATTATCTTGGATTTTTAATTCATTATTCATCAAAGAGTTTCATTTTAAAACAAGAAATGACGTTAAAATCATTTATCGAAACAACATCTTTAATTTATATTTCAGTATTATGCCCATTTCACTCTATAATAAAATATTCCCTGTTGTATATATAGCTGAGTTTATTGTTACAATACATACAATTTTCGACCTTTTTTTAAAAAATCTAATAGTAATGCAATTTTGCTGGATGATATCAGCAAAATTAAGGACTATAGCTTCCATGTATGAGACATTTGGTTACAACGTATTGGTTGTTGATGAGGGTGAGTTATTTAAAATAATTAAATTACATTCCAGTTAAATGGTATAAAACAAATTATAACTAAAAAATAAAAATAGTGCAGTTAACAGAAAATTTTTTTTTTCTTAAGTTCATAATAATTCCGTTACTCTTGCTGATTTACATTAAATCAAAACATGTCCAGTTAAGAATAAAATTGCGGATAGAGTAGTATTTTTTGTAGAAAATTCTTCAAAATAATCCGATTAGCACTAAGTGCACAGTTTTATCGACATCTCACTAAGAAATCATCAATACTACGAAATGTCGCTAAAAATTTTAAATAAAGATTTTAAATAAAATAATAGAATATTAATAAAGATAGTCTTGCAACCTATTTAATGAGTTAAATCATTCAGCACAAGTCATCAATTAAAATTCTTTTTATTTTTCTAAAGATACATATAGCGAAAAAAAGTTTTCAGGTAAGTACAAAGTGTGCATTTCGTTCTTTGCTTGATTTTTGGTTTGGTTCTGATCTCATATGAACGATTTTTCTTTTTCATATTTTAAATTTTTATAAGTAGAAAGTGAATTTTTTTGGTTTTTATATACTTTTATTAACTTAATGTAGTCCAACATCTCGTCATCATCTCGATGAGTTTAAAAAAAAATGAAGTTGTTTTTTACATATATCAATAATATATTGCATAATAGGAAGTAACCTATTTTACATATTATAGTATAAAATTTACAAAAAATAAAATAAAATAGAAATTTTTGTAAAACACACCAGTATTATCTAAGGGTGTAAAACTGACATTTGATGGCCGATTGGCCGTATTGGTGTAGTATATCTTGTATTAGTATCTAGAAATGGTCATTTTGTTTAAGTATTGATCCAGTATCTATAGGTATGTTTTTTTAGAAAAAACAACTTTATTAGAGAATAATTATTAGAATGTTCAATAAATATACCGGGATTGATTAAATATATATTTATGATAATAAATTCTACAATATAACAGTTATATTAACAGTTATTCATCATAGTTACTATGATGACAAAATTATAACCAGAACAATTAACGATACATCAATTTAAATTTACAACTGATATAGTTTACTTTAAAAAGAATGTTTTGAAAAAAATTTATATTTATAGGTTTTATTTTTTCTTAAAGTAATGTTATGAGCATATTTTAAAGTCATATAATACATATTTATGTCATATTTTGTAGTTTTTTAAAACCTAATAATCTGCTTTCTAGTTGATATTATGTGTATTTTTACAATTATCTTACATTTTTATAGGACCAATAAGAAATAAAATTGAAGACCCATACGTTGAAGTTTTAGAACTAATAACAATGTATCATATAAAATTAATCAAGTATGTTGAAACATTGAAAGAGTTACAAAGTAACATATTATTTCATTTTTAAATAACCACTATAAATTGATGATCCCGTTTCAAATAAAAAATCAAACCTAATATTGCATAAATTAGAATTCCTGGAAATTCATACTCACGGTTAATGTTTGAGATATATTTATTTTTAGATTCCTTAAGATAATGATGTGCAGTCGTATAATATTTTGGGCAGGCGCAGTACACAAACACCAGTGAGAGATGGTTAGCATCACTATGTATTGTAATTGTGTAACAAACGAATCAAATTCAAAAATTGTTTGAAATTTTATTTCCTTGTACATTGTCAAGTTAAAAATAGTGTTCTACATTTAAGAAAACAAAATTTAATATCTCTAAAGGATAGGAACAGTAATTATTTAACTAAATATCATTTTAGAGTTTTTTGAACCAATTTCAAAATTTAAAAATTCTCAATAGTTTCTGAGAAAAAGAGCCTCTTATCCTTAATTGATTACTCTATATTTTTTATTTTAAGCTCAATAAAGCAAATCTATTCTAAAAATAAAAAAAAATACCATAAAATTTTTTTATTAGGTTTATACAAAAGTTTTACCAAATTATGAAACCAATCACAATGTTGAGTTACGGAATTAATTTTGTCAGTTTTATAATATTAACTTACTTGATTATAGTGGTAAAGTATCAACTTATATTAATAAAATTATCGTTAAAAAATAATACATTACTCAGAAAAATATTTTTCCACAGAATTATTCTGCAAACAACTACACTTTAACTTTACTATCTTTTAAATTATTTGCAACATCATTCTTATCTATGCTTAATTTACTACTCATGTGTTATTTCCATAGCTTTCTTGAAAAACATGTAAGTTATAAAATTAGTTTTAATTATTACAATAATTATATTTATAACTGATAATATACAATGATTATATGAGTTGAACATTTAATCAATAATAATAAATGTAAACATCATGTCAATTTTTATCTACAGTTAAATTTTAAAAAACGTCAGTTACATATTATTATTTTGAACTTAAATGCATTATTATATAATATTAAATTTTTAATTACTTTTGTTACAAAAGTTTGATATTTGTAACTAATTATACTTATGTCTTCCGTTTAATTAAACCTTATTATCCTAAAATAAAAAATATTTGCAACTATGGATTAAAAAGTTTGTTTATGTTTAAATAATTAACAAATATTTTATACTGATACATAGATAAACGAAATAAGTTTTGCAATATACAGTAGTAGTTAGATCGATAAAAGTATATATATATAAAAAAAAAAGTGTTATATACTTTAAGTCTCCATAATGCGAATAAACCAAAAATGAATATTGCTCCAAATTAGCTGTTGAATTTAATTTTATTTACTAGTGTAAGTACAATTTTATTACAATTTATTTTTTATCTTTATAATTTTCATTTGATTTTCAAAATTTTATTTGATTCCAATCAAATTAATCAATTAATAATTAATTCAATTTTTTATTATAGGTAATGCGAGTTTCTTACTCGATCATTTCACTCCTAGCAAAGAAATCTAAATAGTCTTACAGTAGAATATAGAGAAATATTCTTTAATTCGTATTTTAAAATATTGTAACCTTTTCAAGTAATTTTAGTGTTAATTCTTTTGCTTCTAAATGATAGGTATATTATTCTTTTTAATATCACAAATAAAAGAGAATTGAATAATTTAACCAATTTAAGTTTTAACTTTAATTAAAGTCACAACTCTGGACTTGTCTTTATAATGAAAATGGCTACCGAATGCTTTTTTGTGTGAAAATTCTCGATTTAATATTTTACATTTTTTACTTTATAATGCTTTAACTTATTGAAAACCGTATGGATCAACACAATTTTTTTATGAGAAATAATATTTTTAATAATCCCTATTTTATTCAGTATTTTAATAAGAAAATAGCAGATCATGTAGCTTTTGGAATAATCCACCAATTTTTTTTAATTAAACACTATCTAAAGATTTGCATCGAAGTGTTTTTTTTTATAGTGATTTTAATTACTGTCAGATATCATTATACTTGATCCAACTATGGCATGTCACCACTGTGCCGTGACCCCCCTGTGCTGGGTTTTTTTTTTATTGTTTAAACAATATTAATAACGCATACTATAGTTTTTGAGCTACAGCTCTTTGACTTTGAAAGAAAATTGAATTTTTTTTAATGAATTTTGTTATTCCAATCTATTATATAAAAGTAGTTAGGCTGTGTAACATTTAAGAACTTTTATTATTGAGTACCGAAATAAAAAGAAATATCTAATCAATATAAGGTACAAAAACCTTAGTGTAATAACATAAATATTATCATTCTTGATTGGGTCAGTTTGCCAAATAATTGAAAATTATATTTCTATTAAACTTTTAATATGATAAGTGAAAATGAGAATATTTCATTTCGTCTGAAAATGCACTTTTTCACAGATAATATTTATAAAAAAAACAATTTTCATTTGATTCTTAAAGTTTAACTCCTTGAAATCTCTCATCTTATGTAAAATTGGCGCTACTTTATGCTTCCTCTTGCATGTTTATTCTTTACCCTATACTCATTATGTGCTCTATTTTCTCGTTAACCGCTCAACACTCTGAACCATACAACATAGTTGGTATCACTTCACTCTTATAATACCCACGTTTTAGCTTCATTAGGATTCTTTTATTGCATAAAGCAGTAGACACTTTTCTAAATTTAATTCGCCCACACTAAGTCTTGTGCCCCAAGTCATTAACCTTTTGTAAAAATGATCCAAAATATTAAAAACTTAAATAATGAAAATAATAAAATTATTCACAACATTTTTTTATAAAATTATTTTTATTTTAATGTATTCAGCTATTTTAGTTAGCTTTTTAACATAATCAATATTACTAATAACAATGTATTATAAATAATAAACTTAGCATATTTAGAACAAGTATAGATTTAAATAATGATTTGTTTGTCTATTTTGAAACATTTCGTTGTAAATAAAATAAAATATACAAAATAATTGTTTTTAAGTTTTAAAAATATTGTGTTTATTCATATATAATTCGGGTTCTTTTTATGTGTCAATCAGTAGTATTGGTCCAGCGAAAGCCGTGAATTTTTAAGGATAGGCACAAAAATAACATATAATAGAAAAATAAAAAATTTCTCAGCTTTCTTAGGATCGATGTAAAAAAAATCTAAATTATAGTATTTGTAATAGAAGTATTATTGGACCTAGTGATAATTAACTACTCTTCAATACAGAATATTTACAATATAAAATAATAATAAGGATAAAGTAAGAAAATTTTAAACGAATGAGGTAATTGTAAAATCATTCTTTCTTTTAGAATACTAATATTTTATTTTAGATTAAAAAGTTTTATGTGTTGCTATCTTATTAGATGTAGATTAGATTAGTTCGATGTATAATACTTGTGCATTTATCTAAAAAATACATTTACCTTTACCTTCTCGTTTAAAATTACCTCACTTCACCTTACTGGAAGTAACATCTTCTTGTAGTTTAATCATTAAGATAATAGTTCCATTAATAATAAAATATGTTTTTGTACTGAAAAATGAATGTAATTACTAATACCAGTAAGATCATAGCGGTAATATATACTGACATTCATCACTCCAAATAATATAATTTGAATTCATAAATTAAAAATCTATGGATATTAGCAACAAGTATAATATACATAAAAATAGGTAAAATAAGTCAGAAAACGTTTTTAAAGATCTAAGTAAAGTTTTATTTTTTGTTGTTACTTAAAATAATTAAAACGTTTCAGCGTTTCGAATTTTACAAAAAAAAAGAATAGAATTATATACACTCAAATTGGACAATATTCAAATCATTTTCATTTACAGCTTCATTACAAAAATAAGTATTAAACTGACAGCATTGATATAATATTAAGACTACATTTTTTTTTTTAATAGTCTACTGAATAATTATTTTTCTTATTTTTACACTTGATAATACGATGAAATTCACTAGAATGCTAATCATAAAAGGACGCAAAAACACCCACTTAGACAAACATTGGCATTATGCCTATTATTTTTGAAGTATTACTCTATGATTCAACAACCTTGTCTAAAATGCATTAAACATTTCTAAAAATTTATCAAAGAAATCTAAGTTTTCGCCGAGTAATAGTTGAAAATTAATATGAATTATTTTGAATATTTGTAATTATATACACTTTAACTCTTATGAATTATTTGAAATCTTTCATAGTTCTAAAAAAATTGTTTTACTAAACCAACATTTTAAGTAAAAAACCATTTAAACAAGACCACTAATTTTATTATTTTTGGTTTTAGACATTTCCTTTAAACACCCCTGTGTATGCAACAACCATTTATAATTGGAACTGGGTCTTTTTCAAAATATTTCATAAAATTATAATGAAATTTAATTCATCATAGAAATACATAAATTAAATAAACCGTTAAAGTCATTTTGGATTCAGCTACTTTACAAATATTCGATTTCTACCGAGGTTCGATTCTTTTTTAACTAGTAAAAGGATTATGATTCTAACTTTACAGTATCTGGAATTGTATAAATTTCTAATGCAGATATATTCAAGTAGTAACCAGGATTACACGATTTGAGTAGCCGATATAATAATCTCAAGAGGCAATTATTTAATTAGCTCTCCTGTCATGCACCTAAACTTACAATCTTTAAATTTTAACTTTTGAAGAAACATACTTAAAAATATTTTCATAACACATAATTTATAGTAACACAAATATATAACTTATTAAATTATTAAAAAAACAAATTTGTTATTTTTCTAAATTATTTTACATAACACCTTTTTATATAATAATGAAGACCTAATAATATTTATCATTGATTTTATTTTAAATTTTATACAATTTAAAAAATGTATCTTATNCCTGTCATGCACCTAAACTTACAGTCTTTAAATTTTAACTTTTGAAGAAACATACTTAAAAATATTTTCATAACACATAATTTAAAGTAACACAAATATATAACTTATTAAATTATTAAAAAAACAAATTTGATATTTTTCTAAATTATTTTACATAATACCTTATTATATAAATGATGAATACCTAATAATATTTATCATTGATTTTGTTTTAAATTTTATACAATTTAAAAAATGTATCTTATAAAAAAAAATTTTTTTGTTTATTTTCATTTTTCGTTATTTCTCAAATTTTATACATTTCCATGGCTTCTTGATATTTTTATTTTTGAATTTCTATGGTTTCTCTAATTTGATGAATTTCTATGGCTTCATGATGTTTTTATTTTTGAATTTCTATGGCTTCTCAAATTTTATGCATTTCTATGGCTTCTTGATATTTTTATTTTTAAATTTCTATGGTTTCTCTAATTTGATGCATTTCTATGGCTTCTCTAATTTTATGCATTTTTATGGTTTTTAAAAATTATATAACATAATCCTACAAATAAAAGAATTGTTTACAATTAATTGAGAGGCGATCTACAAAGATGATTTAGAATTTAGATCTTTTACTTAGAATACTAAAAAAAACCAAAAGCTTTAGCAAAAAGTATATAATATTTTATATCTAACTTAAGTAAGTTGGCGATAATTTTTTATTATCAACTAGAACAATACTTATATTTAATAATACTTAAACAGGACTTAAAAGTAATAAGTGTACTCCATTACTTAGTATGGAATTAATGCAAATTGTGTCATATCCTGAAGAGTTGGTACACTCCCTCATCCACTCAGAGGGGTGCAAATACTACTACATTCACAAATGATCTATACTATCCCGTAATTTACATATTAAATTATGCTGCCATAGACTTAATCTTCCAGATTAATGTACTATCGATTTTTCAGGTAGAAACTGTTATTTGACATTATTCTTATTAATCAATTAAAAATTATTTGTAAATAACAAATAAGTTAAACTGTGAAAATCGATTAATTCCAAGTTGTTACCCTGTACTTCCGATTGTTGTCAATGGTTTCAGTGACTCGTTTCGTTTAAACAACCAATGTTAACGGAACTACGTATCTTAAACGCATTAATAATATGAGTTTGCTGACATAACATAAGCTTATTATACAAAATGGAATAGAATAATTCTCTTAATATTTAAAATTAACAAATATTCCAATTCAGCTAAGTTAAGCATAAAAAATATTTGTGATATTTCCAGTAACCACTCACCCATTATTCTATCGGTAGTGAGATCTCCTTTAAAACAAGACTATCCCCTACAATAGAACCCATTAACTGGCACAAATTTAAAATTGAGTTAGATAAAAATATTTATCTGAAAATTCCATTCAAAACCCATGACGACGTTGAAAATGAGGCTCAAAATATTGTTTCACTATCAAAAACTCGGCAAGTAATTCATCTTCATTAAATAAGAACAATTGTAAAAACGAAGAAAAACTCCCTGTCCACATAAAAGCTCTTATCAGTGAGAAAAGAAGAGTTAGATCCATATGGCAAAATATTCGATATTCCTCGTTTAAACTACTCTACAACAAACTAGTTAATACCCTAAAACACAAACTTCTAGAATTCAAATCAGTTCAGTATCAAAATTACATTAGATCACTCAACGCTAATAATAAATCATTATGGAGAGCTACAAAACGAATGACTCAAACCAAAGAAAATACCCCACCTCCTCGAAATGATAATGGTATCTTTGCTATATCAGATGAAGACAAAGCTACGGTTTTTGCTGGACATTTATTTAATACATTTAAACCGCATGAAGACGTTAAGCTCGACTATAATCATATTAATATAATTAATAACTTTACCTCATGTACTCTACCTATTATGTATCTCCTCCTATTAAACCATTCAATCCTGAAAAATTGAAGCTACTATTTAAGAATTACCTAAAGGTAAAGCTCCTGGGTATGACCTAATCACAAATAAAGTGTTGATGAACCTATCAAAAAAAGGTATTCTCCTTTTATTATATATTTACAATAGTATAATGCGTCTTTCTTACTTTCCGTCAATTTGGAAATTAGCCGTAATAATCCTTATACCTAAACCAGGGAAACCAAAAAACATGGCAGCTTCATATAGGATTAGGCCAATATTACAAGAGTATCACATCTTACCCAACACCCCGTTTGGATTCCGCGATAGACACTCTACTATACGCCAAGTCCATAGGTTGGCCGACACAATAGCCTCAGCATTTGAAAACCGCAAATACTGTACTGGACTATTCTTCAACGTCGCCCAAGCCTTTGATAGGGTGTGGCATGATGGGCTGCTTTACAAATTAAAAAAAAATTCCCAGCGCCTCTATATTTAATAATAAAGTTTTACCTTTATGAAATACAGTTTACGGTAAGACATGGCAGTGCAAATTCTGCTTACTACAATATTCAAGCAGGTGTTCCTCAAGGAAGTGACCTGTCTCCCGACCTCTACAATATTTTTACCGCAGACATACCCCAGTCTACTAATACCCTTCTTGCTACATTTGCTGACGCTACTGCTATACTGTCTACTCATAGTAATATTACTGAAACTCTCCATCATCTACAAACACACGACAACTACATCGAATCTTGGTTCAGGAACTGGAAAATTAAAATAAATTAAGTCAAGCCATGTAACATTCGCTCTTAGATCTAAAAAATGCCCAGATATAAAATTAAACAATACAGTAATTAATACCCTTAATGAAACTAAGTACCTAGTCATAATTTTGTAATTAGTTTTTAATATTTTGAAATAATTAATACCTCTCGAAATAAAATTACTTATTTATCAGTCAATAATCAGACCAGTCTGGTCTTGTGGTATACAGATATAGGGACCAGCTAAACCATCCAACATTCGACCAATACAATCCTTTCAAAATATAACATTACGAGTGTTAACTGGTGCGCCGTGGTATGTAGCAAATAATAACCTACACAAAGATTTAAACATCAAAACTGTCAAAGAACTTGCTATTTTACACTATACTACACCCAAAGAAAAACCTCAATCAATTTTGATAGAGAAATTTTATCAAGGGTTTATGATAATGTTTTATTAATACGAACAAAATAACTATTCTTATAAATAATTATTGTTCAAGACAAGAAAAAAAATTACCATATTGATAAATATATCATAGATTCAATAGTAATGATATATTTATCAAATTGAACAATGAATTTATTATATAGATCGCGGTTTTTCTCTGGGTGTACATTAAATAGCAAGATTTTAAAATAATGTTTTATCGTACCATAAATAATATTCTATTAAAAAACAATAAAACTAATGGTATAACATGCAAATATCACTAAAGCGAATGAATGGACAACAAAATGAATACAGCAATGCAATTATTGGTGAATAATTATTTCCTTGAAAGTTGTAGAAAACGCCTAGTTTTGTTAGCTAAAAGATACTGATAATGTTTTATTCGTTGTAAATAATTTTGGCGAAAACGTTATAAATAACAAAAACGTATCTAAATGCATTAAATCATTAAAAGAAGGCTATGATCTCACGATTTCTTTTCTTGGAACCGACAATGTCATTTTCTCCGGCCCATAAACAAATCCTTTGTCGCGGAAATTGCGTTTTGGCAAAATTTCGTTCATTGTGGATGTCCTGCGTCAAACATCACAAAGACGGCGGAATGGAGACGTTCACAAGATGTTCGCGCACACTTCCATAACAAAAACAATAACCCGTTGACAAAGACACGGCGAAAAATCATCGATTTCATTCTTTGGCCGTTGTCCCTGCAGATACGCAGTATCTAAAAATACTAAAGAGCTAAACATAGCCCGTTGTCGAGGTGAACCGCACGCGACTAACACGAGCCGCCGTTCAGCTGCTGTCGTACAGTCGTACACGTTATATAAAAACTAAACGCATTGGTACAGAGCAGAGTCCGGCAATCGCCGTCCGCGTTCACAGTTGTTCTCCTCGACCGTTCTGTCACGTCCGTCGTTTACAATTGTTTTGCCTGTTGCGTATTAATTGTTCTCTTTGTTTGTACGAGTGTGAAACACGCCGTTAAGACAAATAACAGTAATTTCTGACAGTCAATTAGATTGTACTTGCATTGTCGTTATAATGAGGCCCCCAATCGAGGAGGAAATCGAGGCAGCCGAAGTGGAAGTCGCTGATAACCACTATGCAGCTATGTCCCTGGTAACCACTAGAATAGCAGGAAACGCGGTCTGTAGAGTAGTGAACAGATGCAATGAAGCACAGGAGAGCTGCAATTTGGGTAAGCTTTCAATAGCGCAAAGATAACTACTTAGTTTGATAACATAGTACCGTAGTGATAATTGATGATTATCAAAGTCTACTACTTTTCAACTATAAAACGATGTTATATTTAATTAAATAACTCTTAAAAGAAGTATCACGTTTTAAATATTAAAACTAGACACAAAAATATTTTATTAGTCACACTAATTATTTGTATATCACCTAAATGACACATGTGTATACAAAATTGCTTACTATTTAATAAATCATACAAATTAAGAAAACCGTTCATTTGATTCGGCCAAACGTTGACAAGTATGAATAACGTTGTAAAGGGCATGAAATGACAAAAGAGCATTGACTGACATTCACTATGGAATAAATTCGTCGTGCTTTTCGCCAATTTTGTGCTTTCGCCAAATAACACCTGCGCGGATACATTACTTTTTATCTGATGAAATGAAAATATAATTGAACAACGTCTTCGGTTCTGTTGAAACGCCGTTATCATTTGATCGCATTATGTGTTATACATAATGTACATTTTCCTGCTTTCACCTCGTCCAATTATAAACAGTGGTTTACGATTATTCACAAAATCTCGGTCATAATAACAACGTTTTTAAATTGTTAACCTAAACATTATGAGCTCGTCGATGATAAGATATTAATTTTTTTGTTTATTATTCAAAAGCGCAAAAATGTTCTGATAACACTTACGATTATGTCCAGACTACATTAATGTAGGTGATTTTTTTTTGACGTTAAATATCTCTTAGAACAACTGTTTTGCTATTATGTTAGAGAGTTTCCTTTTTTTTTTACATAAAAATCAACACTGTCGAGACGCAACGCTTCCGCAAATACTACAATGAGAATGTTTCCTCATTTTTGGAAAACATCCAAAAAAAAATTATTATCCACATTCAATTTTTAATTACTCGCTAAAAAAATGGTTTATCATTAAAAACCTATACGATTTTATTAAGTCATTTTATGACCTTGAATTTTTTCTTTGTCATAACTGTCATATTATATCCTTAAATATAGTTAAAATAGTTTTTTTATACAATTTATGAAAAAATATGTACAGTTAAGTTTTGTTATTATTCAAATATCTCTAATAATTTTAAGGAGACAAAAATTTTATTTATTTTATTATAAAATTTACGTGATTTAATAAACATTTCTATTTGAAGATTATAGGGAAAAGACGACAGTAGTTCATATATTTTTCGATTTTAATTTTGTAATTTGATTTGTTAGCTAATTACCCTAACAATAGTATCAAGTAACGAAATCCATTTGGTGTTAAATGTTTTGCTTATATTAGTGCGTTTCTTTGTTTTTATTATTATTAATTATAGTTTAGAAATTAATAGACTGTTTAAAAAAATTATAGCATTGAACTACCTTTTTTATCCTGTACTTATCATTAGATTTACTTTAAAATGACTTATAAATTATAAGTCATTTATACATTTTTTTTCTTTTTAAATGCTATGTGTTATGACATGGTCATTACACTTAAAACAGTCAATGTATGAAATGTCAACCATTATATTAATTACATTTTTTAGGGACATTCCATTTCATTTATTTAATTGAGTTTTTTTCATTTCCATATTTTACCAACATAGCAAAATAAATTATAAAGTACATGATGAGTCTATGCTTGTTTTTTTTTTGTGATTTGAATGACGATTGTAAACCTTATATGGTTTATAGACATTGAAATGGACATTTGCACGATAGTCTTATGTACTCGACGGTGTAATAATATCTAATACTTCTAACTACATCGTCGACCTTGTGCAAACTACATTGGGACTTCCTGCATGTAGAAATGCTTATCCCTCCTTCTCCTATACAGTGTAACAGGCCTAAAAAAGAAAGAAATGGTAATCCTTTCGTAAAAAATATCCATTGTCATGAGTACTAAGAAGGACACAATTATGTCAAACCCATCTGTTGTTTTGACCACTTGGTGATGCGTAATAGTAATTATTATTACGCATTATATCATTATTAACTACTTATAATTAGCTAATCAAAACAGTAAATATAATACATATATTGCTTAAGTTGAATAGTAAATGTGTAAATCATTATTTATTTAAAATCCTGAACAACTATTGCTTTCAGTTGATTTAAATAGCTATTTTATCTGTTTACAATCAGGAGCAGAATAAATACATTTGAGGTACAGTTAATATTATTAATAGCTGACATTTCAGGAGATCACTTTTAATAAAGTTTATAACAATTTTTTCTCAAACTTTTAAAAAATCAATTTCTGTCGTAATTTTTGTTTTCAAAAATTATTAAACATGACAATTATTAAAAAATCGCAACAAAAATAAATATATTAAAAAAATATATTTAGTCTTAACCAACAATAATCCTCAAATAAAACATAATCTAAGAAATTGAAAATTTGATTGAATTAAGATAACTGCGTACTCGATTCTTTTATGACTGAAATTTCAAAAAAATGTTTAATAGTTTATTATTATCAAATATTAATTTTTTTAGACTTGTCAGAGTGCCAACTGATGCAGATTCCCGACGCAATTTACTTACTCATGCAAAATACTCATTTGACTATATGCGATTTATCCAACAATGTCATTTCAAAGCTCCCTCCAAAGTTTCCTGAACGGTTTACAGGAATTACAGGTAAATAACAAAAAATAATTTTTCTTATCTTGCACATATTTAACACCCCGACTGTGTGAAAGATAAAAATAATATTCACGAATGAAAAATTAAGTATTATGGTAATTGGTAGTTCAATTAGCCATATCTCCCCACGAGAACGCCAATTAATACACACAAGTAAATTTTTATGGAAATTTTATGTATTTTATTAAAGTACTATGACTAAGGGTCGGAATAATAATCTTTCATAATAACCAAAATATAATGCTAATATTCTCTCAAAAAGTTGAAATTATTCATATTATATTCTTTAAAAACATCAGTAAAATATGTTGAAAATATTCTTTTATTAAAACATATTTTGTTAAATTAAAAATTTTATTAAACTAGAGATAGTTCAACGAAATTCCGATTTCTAACTATGACTAATATACTTAGATGGATTAGTTAAATATTACAGTGTCTTATGGCTTAGACTTCACCTATACTAGCTTAAAGGCCTACACTAATTTTTAAAGTTATTTTTCATTTACTTTTATAAGTTATCAAACATTAGAAATTTTTAAAAGTAGTCAACTACTAATTTTTTTTATTACTTATGGACTAGTAATTAATTTTGAAATTTATGAAATTGTTATAAAATGTATTACGTTTTCAAACATTTTTACACAATTTAAAATTACATTACTTAAAATAGAATTTTTTAAAGAAAATAATTAGTGTCAATGTATAATTATGTCTCATATGATATATTCAATTAACGAATTTTTAATTTTATTATAGAATTGAATTTATCTCATAATCAAATTTGTAAGCTACCTGATCAACTATCTGAAATGAAAAGTCTTCAAAAATTAGACATATCATATAATTCTTTCGTAGAATTACCAGAAACCATAAATCGACTAAGTGATCTATGTACCCTTATAGCTAGTCATAATTTCATTATTAGTAAGTAAAAATAATATTTAAAAAATTTGATTTTAGTGTTGTGTAAACTCTTACAAAAGTATTCCCCTAATGTAATTAAGCAAAATTAACGTTTTGTAAATAAAAAAATCTTGGGCACATACTAAATTTACAACGGTAATATTTTCTAGACCGCATATTTTTCTAGCCTACAGTGATATACACTATTTAATAACTGTAATGGTGGTAAGTAACTTGAAAACAAATTACTACAATTTTGAATAATTTTTTTTACTTAAAAATAAAAATAATATTTTTAAAACTTGTCGAATGTAAACAATAGTTTACACAATTTAAATTTAACTATGTTTAAAAATATAATATATATAACAATCATCATTACAGATGTAGACTTTAAATCCTTCGAGGTATGTTTAAAACAGTTGAAAGAAGCGGATTTCACAGAAAACCCATTAAATCAACCAACTCTTAACATGCTCGAAGAAAAATTACCATTTAGGGTACTATACACTGCACCAAATGATGAAGACTGGAGGGATTTAGATAATTAAAAAATAGAAAAATAAAGCATTTGACAATACAGAAATATATTTTTAATTAGCTAATAAAATGTTTTTATATTGTTTTCTTTTTATTATTGTTTATTTTTTTAGATTTTCAGCGAGAAATTCGCTTCAAGATAACAATAATTATAATTATAATTACATAAAATAAAATTTGGGTCCCTACCCACATATCACTGCATACTTGCCATCGATTTTTATACACGTACATAAATTATAATATACATAATGAATAGTTTTTTTTTAATGTATTTACACTTAATGAAGTAAAAATGCTTTGTTGTACATTTAAGCATAACAAATTAATTAATTACATACAAAAAATTCTAAAAAGTTTTTTTTGGTAATAATGATAATAAAATGTAGATTTAAATTATTATTAATATGACTAAAGATATATAAGGTTTACACATTTTGTTGTACAAAAGAAAAACCAAAGAGAGACTTATTTTTTACAAAATTAAACGGGACAAAATTTATTATTAATAAGTTATCGCGATGTAAAAAAAAATACATATAATATTTGTATTATATATTTTGTTATTACTATTGATTTTGTTTAACTAACGAATTATAAAAAAACTGTTTCCTTCTATTAACTAGTTACATGGTATATTATCTACTTTTTTAAATATTATTATTAAGTTTGAAAAAACGTTGGTTGTTTTGTCTTCTATCAACAAATTATTCTATTCATAACACTTCCTTTTTACCCTCTCATTTGCCTACTTAACTTTATACCCTGACCGATAATATTCATGTGCAGCGTTTAGGTCAAACTACTAAGTAGAACGCAAACATTAAAATTTCTTATTCCATTATAAGTATTTTTAATTTAATATTTTATTAACATATAATGTGTATAACAAAACATATGATGGAAACTCTAGAACAACCGATGAAAAAAGTTACCTTAACCCTACTAATAATGCAATAATAACATGAATGACGATGTACGAGTGTTTATTGATCGCAAGTCGTAGTAAAAATCTGTTTCACGTGGATATTCGGTGAACAGATAAAACAAAACAATTTGCTAAATAGAATATTAACGAATGACTAGAAACTATTTCATTTAGAATATTATAATAATAAATATAAACATAATTTGCAATAGTAAAAATTATAAGTCAGCAATATTCGGTCATTGTCCAAACAAAGTCAATAATTAATCATTTATACACAACACTACAGTAAAACCCTTACATCGCATACGATGACAACATTAAGTTGAAATGGAACAAATATTTGTCGTCATAAAATTAATTAATATAACATTATACTGCTAAGTTGTTGTTTTTTACGCTGCAATGGATATGTAAGAAAATCTGCTGTAGTGTCAATATAAATATTTATCCAAAATTAATATTAAAAACGACCGAAAAAAGCCACAGCCTTATCTTTGCGTTGTCATCGTGCGGTGATCGACACCGCAATGACGTACACCATAACAAAATATTTTACTTACTATCACTAATATCATTATTATTATTATTATTATTATTATCATTATAAACATGAATAGAAAAAACAAAATGTAATTATATAATCCTAATCGTATGCGAACAATTACAATAAAAATAAAAGAGAAACAATATTAAATTGAATTAGCTATATCACTATATTATGTATAATATAATATTATTACAATATAATATGAAAATTCAGTTATTACAAGTGACAAATAATGTGTCTATATTGCATTATAATAAATAATATGGTTTTTATCACATAAATACGTGTATGACCAAAGTAAACATATTTTATAATATAATTATTAGATAAATGATATCATTCGCGCGCGTGAGTTTTATGCCGATGATCGCGCCCGCCAGCACGTGGAGAAATTTACATATAAACTGTTGATAAGCTCAACAAAAAGCGTACGCGCAAACGTACGTTTGATAGTTTTTTAGGTAGTTTTACAAACGGGCAAACGAAATGTGCACGATGACATTGCTTGTTATTAAGTGTTCTGGTAATAATATCGTACAGCACCACCTCCGGAGATTGATTGGCATCGAGGAGAAGATCACTCGTCGTTTTCATCAAGAGCAATTCTTTATTTATTCAGTTCTTTACACGCGACATAGACCAAGTAAAAAAACAGTCGTCTACTATTGGCTCAGTGTCTGTTTATCTACGTGGCTCAGACACGGCACCATGGTCAGACTGGATAGGCTTTGGATATCGTCCACAACCGGAGGAAATCCCGAAGTCGTTTTCGATAAACACCTGAAAACAATAAAACGATTTTAATTGAAGTTCGATTTATATCTATATTAATTGTTATAGTTTATTAATGAGGCACTTGAATAAATTTTATTTGATACAATTCCCATTAATGATGCGAATTGCATCATTAATGATCATCTCTTGAAAACTTGGAATTTTCACGAAGATAGTCATACGCTATTAACACGACGATTGTTTTATAAAATTTCTATAATTCATAAATGTCAAACTAACGAGGAACAAATGTTAAAGAACGACTTCACATCCCTTACAATAAATCCATGTACTTCTATTATATTTTAGGAAATATAAATAATAAAACTATAAATTTTACCTGGAATTCGTGCTGTTACATCGTAATACCGAATCTATTTCGGAGGAAGAACCTGACAAAGACGTCAGACCAGTTGCCGAACTGGACCGATGGGGATGAGATAACTTGCTGCCGCACTCGGGAGCCGATGGCCATATCGTCCTATTAGGAGGTCCTCTAATGCATTTTTGGTAGATCTCCCGTTCCTAAAAAAAAAAGTCAGATATATCCTAATGAATCATGATCGAATGTCCTTATACGTGGACGGGTCAACGATCGAGTGGACATATACCTGTTCGGAGTTTCGGAGATGTATCTTGGCCATACTTCCGTATGGGTACTCTTCTCCATCCGGTAAATGGATCTGAGGTGGTAAGTCCAACTCCAAGTCGGTCCGGACAGAGTGCAACCGGACTTGCCGGTTGTGTTCACGGGTCAATCCGTTGTTGCTTCGCATTGTCAACATCTACAAATATTGAAAAAAATTTAGTAATTAAACTTGCCGCACGCGACATTAAAAATGAAGATAATAAGTATTTATCAATGACCCGACATCGACAGAAGCCTTGTAACGCACTGCTACGACAGCCTAGATTGAACATACCACACTCGACAACATATGTCGACCGGAGTAAAAACCGTTATGACTCAAAGGTCTCCCCCAGAAAAAAACGCCCTTTCTCCCTAATTTTTGGGTGGGAAAACTCGGTGGCTGTTCCCAGATAGGACGCGTTCCAGGCGCCGTCGTACACGTCGTAATAGGGTGCGTACAATGGAAGGGATACTCTCTCTTTACATTGCCGACTGATTCAGTAAAGAAATCTCCCTCTTCACGTATCTGACACCAAAAGCGTTTTGTGTTCGTGACGTCTTCAACAACAACAACAACAACATAATTCATACACAACACTAATCTCGTTCGTTTACCGGATTAATACAATTTGCCGAGATATTCTTATAACTAAAACAGTCCGTAATTGTTTAAACGCGAACACTCTACAATACTAAAGTTTAAGTTTAAAACATGTTGCTCAGAGAGAACTTAAATTAGTGTTAAAACATTTCGGGTTTAGATAAAATGTTAACATAGAAATATATTCAACAGCATTAAACATTAACGAATTGTATAAATTAATAAGATCAATTATACCAGATATAAGTAACAGTAAAAACTGCGAATAGATTAATGGACTGGGTATAGCCATTACAAAAAATTGTCAAAGGAGAATCTATGAGTGATGTGGACAATTAAGCGTGCATTAAAAAAACTTGTGTATATGTGTTGTGTCATAATAATAGCTGCAAAACGAACATGACCGTAGATACTTAACCAGAATGCAAATATAGTGTTCGTTGTAAAGATTCAAAGTCATTAGCGCAGAAAAGGTGTGCGCTTAAATGACGTTTTACACAAAAGTTGGTATGGAATTTATTATGTTAGCGTAGATGAAATTCAAATTTATAGGGGCACGACGGAGTTTGAATAACAAAATAAATTCGCCAAAATTAAACAACACTGCGGGTCGACGATCCTTTGAAGGCTTAAGCACAGCTTTTGATAATGCCACTAATGGAAAATTAAAATTTTTCTCCAAGATGTTCTAATAACTATAAAGTATACCCGAGAACTACATTACACAGCTGGCTGGTACGATCTATACACACGAAAAACTTGCTCGGACAAATCGAATAGGGCAAGGGAATTGTAAAGTTCATATATTATTATACGTGACATTTTCCACGAGGCGATTTTTTAACAATCCTGATATTGAACAATGTACCTACCAAAAATTAGCAAGGAAACCATCGAAAAGTGCAAAGACATTATACTTTTGTTTATTACACGATACCGATGGACATTACAACTGAAAAATTACAATGACAAATTATACTGTACAATTTATACTCGAGGAAATTTTTCCGTCGGCTGATTACTGAACATTTCCATGAAAATAATTGCACTAATAATAAGGTAAAAAACATAGTATTTTTTTTTTTTTACAATTCGTCATCGTATACTCGCACATATACATGTGTGTGTTTCGTCGTTTTTCGACCATGAACATATTCAGACGAGGTCAACACCGCACAACGAATCAGACTTGACGTTATGTCACGGTTTCTGTGCACTTCTACTGTACTATTTTCGCCCTATTTTCTGCGATGGTATAATTATGCTTAGACCCTTATTATTATAAATCAGAAATAAGTCTTGTAGGGCTCAATTTTCACAAAACCATTTCCGAGACATGTTAATCGACTTCTGTCATTTGTATAAGTTCAATGGCATTGGTTAATAATAAAAGACAAATAATATAAAGTTAATATTGAGCGTCCCATGAATAGTTGGTTAAAATTTAAGCAAAGCTATGAATTCAACAAAAAGTTCGAGGATGGTTCTATAATGAAATTCAATTCAAACGGATTTTAAATGAATTTAGTGACGATTTCAAGAGTTAACCGCAGCCAAAGATGGAACTGCGACAAAAAATGTAAATTGAATTCTTCTTAAAAGAGCGCCGAAGAAGTGGAGCGTAAAATAGAATTACCTAAGACACTTATAGATTTTATTTAAAATACACTTCGGTTGAATTGCTAGCTAAATCATGTTACACGGTAACCGCACAAAAGCCATTTTCTAAGTCATTCGCTAAGACCAGCGTTGTAATGGCTTCTCGCTTAGCTGGAGCTGTCAAGTGAGATTCGGTTTAACATTTTTCAAAAAACAAAAAAAGTAATAATAATTAAGAAAATTCTGCGATGAAATGCTAAAACGAGTTGTTCGGTCGAAAAATTATTCTATTTTCTAATGGAAAAAATCCGTGAAATTCCGAGAAGGGATATTTTTCTGAAACATCCACAATACAAGTTTTTTTTTTTCTAAAAATATATTTTTAATTTGCTTCTCGTCTATTTTCGTAAGATCACGAACAAAACCTGACAGACTTTGGCGAAACTATCAAAAAAAAATCGTTCGAAAGCATCTCATTATGGAAAAAAGTATCACTTGAATGATAGCAGACGGTAAGATTTCGGATCTAACGACGAGTACAATGGGCAAATTGCGTTTTTCTTACACCCCAGACAGATTTCAGATATATATATATATATATATATACAATAATTCACCCACTGCATCTTCCGAGGACTTTCGACGTACCCTTCTCGTTACATATATCACACACCCTTCCTTTTACCCCCCCAATCTCGCCGTAAGTTTTGCACATACTAACAAAAGCCAACGGCAAGGGATAAGACGTCAGGGGTAAAACGGTGAACCTGGACGACCCGATTTAAACTTGGCACCGCTGCCGCGCTAGAGACGGACGTTTTTCCCGCTCAGGCCGCTTTGCATACAAGAGCTGCCCCCCCCCCTCACAAACAGCTACCTACCACCTATCATCATCGCGTCACCGACGGAATTACGTGTGAACACACCCTGCCAGCGACATGCATGACCCCGTCATACAATCAATACACAATTCTATTTGTAGGCCAGCCATGATATCCTACTGTCGGAAGACGGTGACAAAAAAAAGCAAACATTTCTTTATGAAACAATGTTTTTGTGTTTTGCCCCGTGTCTCTCATTACAATCCACTCGGATTAGTCTTACAGTTTTAAAACACTTACGGCTTGCGAGGAAGTTGTGCCGAAAGTCGGTGGCGTCGACGACGTGGACGCCGTCGTTGACGTCAGCTGCGGAGACGGCGGCGGCGGCGGCAGTGGCGTCGAAAGCCTCTGGTGCGGCCCGGACGACAGACAATGTACGGCAGGATTGTATTGTTGATTGTAATGATGCAGCACGCAGGTGAGCAGCCCGACAGTACCCAGTACGGCCACCGTCACCACCATAAGTACCATCACCGTTCCAACTTGATAAAAAAAAAAAAATGAAAATTAGACCTTTACACATAGTATTGATTAAAAAAATAAAATAAAAATCAGACACCGATGGATTTCCAGCAAACGCCGCGGTGAGCATTGCCTCTGCTCGCCCGCCCAATTACTCGGGGGGATGGTGAATATTTATTCTAATATTTCGACTTTGGAAGCTTATTGCTAAGGCAGTCGACGGTATTCTAACTGTTGTAGTAATGGAAGACTGAAGGACGACCGGATGGAAATGGGCGAGCACCGAATGTAATTGGATATCGAACGAGAACAACAACATACAGTACGAAAAATATTCAAAGGCACTGCAAAGTCGAACCGTTCGAGATTCGTAAAATTCTCTGGGTGTCGTACTCATCTACCCACATTGTCAACACTATAACAGGACAGTTATAATTTAACGTTCAATATGAACGTAATTTTCGACACGAGGTTTTGTTTATGACGAGTAGAAAAGTTGTTTTCGAATGGGCGGACGGGCACCGAATAAAAAATCCCGTCTATGACGATATTTTAATAATACGTCGCACTCGTGCAAAAAAAAATATGATGTTTCAATGCACAAACGGCGGGATGCATAGACCATTGGAATATATAGTAGTTTTAAACACTAATAATAATACTGTTGTGATTCGTATAATGCGGCGGCGTCCTTGTGTCGGTCATTTGCACTCGGTTCATACACGTGGAGATGTTCCATTATACGCCGCGATATTGTAATACAAGTACTACCAAGATAATGATAGAAGAAGCGGCAGATCACAACGTCTAGTCTATACTCATCGTATCGCATATGAGAGGTGTTAATCGAAAACACGGCAAACTACTTTCAAGATAAATTTGTTTTACAATACACACACGTCATGATCAGTGGGCGTTACAACTTATTAGCTAACGATGAACTCGATAAAACTTATAAACGAAATTCTATGCTGTAGGTGCAAAAATTAATTTTTTTTTTTTGTTAACGCGTAAGTTAGTTTATGAAAACACGTCGTTTTTTATTCATTGAGCTACTCGAGTAGAAATATCTAACGATTCCGTGTTATGAATGGTATTTAAAAATGAATACTAAGCGCTTCAAATGGAGAAATAATTGATTGTGTTAAGTAAAAATTACATTACAGTCTAATGGCCAGTGTTGAAGTAAATTTTTTTAGTCAAAACATAATTGGACAATCGATTATTTTTAATGTACTTCAAAAGATAGTTTTAACTCGTTATCGCAGACGGTTTATACAATCAAATTGCTAAATCTAAAAAAACAAACTGAGATGATCGGTACATCAATATTTAGTCTGACGTGAGTATAGACGACACATATGCTGATGGAGTTTGTGAAAAATTAAATAAAAATATATCGAATTTATCAGAAGCTACTTTTTTTTTTAAGTCGGAGATAAAGTACTAACTAAAGTGCTAACACGAAAAACGTACACTCGCAGATGGAAAAGTTTAGTAGAAAATGTATTATGATGGGTGTTTTTTAGGACGACAGAGTGTTTGAACAATACGGTTGCCGCATCAACTGTTTTTATCGAAGAGACTCGTAAAGGAAAAATCTAATTTGCAATTTCCATGTGCTCTCCGTCTACGTCGCACACATCATGTCGGTTGTATTGTACGCTAAAAAAGGACTATATCGCGTCAACGCACTTAGACGGCGCTGCACTTTTTCACGGGAAAATCTATACGATACGTACTCGTGTCGAATACAAAGCTAGACGTCTTTATTGGTACGCAAAAAAAAAGTAAACCCAATAAGAGACGTATTATTTTTATTCGTCCGTGTTCAATGGCCACGCGCTGTCAGCCGGAGCCGTTCGTAAAAAATCGCGTTTCCTTCGAATTCGTCATATCAAATTCATTTATTCTCGGTAAGTATTTCGTCTGGGATTCTTCCTGTTACACCGTTTTATCTGCAACATGTTAGCGGCGTTTGATACGACACAGCCGAGATCAACTCAGCAGCAGCGGCAGGGCCATATGCCAATAAATACAACAGTAAATATATCAAAACGGTCTCGAATGATTGGACCGAATGGTTTGATTTTTCTTATCTCTGCCCGACAGCAATTTACTCGTCGCATAGCTGCTAACCGTCTCTCTTGAAAAAATAGTAATAATAATAAAAAGAAAACGTTTGAAAAAATCATAATAAATATAAGAGCTAACCAAAGCAGCCGTGTTATTACCCGTCGCAGCTTTTAAAAGCCACTCTACCGAATCATTTGTGTTTTAAGTGTACACATTTACATTTTTAGAGAGCAGACCAATTGGTGGCAGTTTTATAATGACGGCGAAAAACGTTGCAACCTTTATTTAAAGTTTTTTACAATTGTCAAAAATAATAATAATAATACCTCCAGAGACATTCGGTAACCGCCCGGCGGTACAGTTGAGCGCATAGGCGAATGACTAAAAAAACTTGGTCGTTATGTGCACGGACAACGAAAATACTTAAAAACTATACTCGGGTGAAATTGTGATTTTAACTAGTAAAAAATGACCACATGTCGCACACGACGTTATTTCGGTTCGACGTCTTGGGCGTACACCACTACGTTGCAGCACATTCCACGCGGCCATATATAATGTAAAACACGGGATATTGCTCTGCACGGGCAGACAAAGGGCTTAGTATATTGGATTTAATATGGCCGAAATGCTTTTTTATTATTTAGCATAATACCCTGGGTATCCTTGTCTCTCGCGTCATTTGCCATTACAGGCGGCAAAGGCACGATGGATCCGACAAAGGGATGTGTTAAACGAAGCCGCATAGACTAACGATGGCAGCAGCGAAGTTCAGTTTGTTAATTAAATGACAAGGACGTACACTGATTTCGGGATGGCATTGTCTATTCGAGTCATTCGCCACGTTGCACGAGACCACTAGACAAAAAGTCGGCCAATACCGACGGAGGACAATCGTTTGCCAATAAAAACATGAAAATCGACGGAAAAAAAACATCGAGTCCAGACGGCGAACACAAAACATAGCAAAGGGACAAATCATATCTATTGCCAGTTGCGCGTACGGCCAGGTTCGGCCAACTAGTGTTACGCTCATCGATTGGGTGCCGGTATTTTACTCGTTAAAAAAACACACGTCGTTGTAATGTTTGGCAACGGGACCGTTAAATCATCTCTCGAACCGCCGCCGCGTCGTTTCTCTTGGAAACCGACCGTACATCGTGACCGCGTACATAATAATAATAATAATACTAGTAATGTTGTGCACACGTTATGGACGACGCACGACGTACTTCGGGCGAATATTATTGTTGTACAATGTAATCGGTTTTGATATTTTGGAAGTTTTGGCACCACCCGAAGCGTTCAGTCGTGTACGCACAACAATAAATCATGCGGCCGAACTGCAACGTCAAAAACGAGCACAGAAGGTCGGCGGCGTACCGGCACGTCGGCTGTTTTGTTCGAACTGTACCGGAATGTCGTGCGCGCCGACCGACCGCCGTCCAGTAATTAATGACTTGTCGTTAAGGGATTGTGGCGGCGGTCCATTACCACCGCTGCGTCTCGGACGTTGCGGCCGCGTGGGACATCACGGGGTGTGTCCACGGCATAGATCAGGCCGCCGTTAAGGGTCATCGCACCAACGACACCGTGACATGCGTCCGCCGAACGGTCTAACGGCATACCGCCAGCCGCCGCACAGATAATGCCGACCGACGAGTACAATAATTGTGGTTCGAGCCAACGTCATCGCCGCCGTTTGTTGCGCCTGGCGCACAGCTATTATCGCACCAAGACACTGTTTGCATAGAGCAATGTGATTACGATTCGCATGATAAACTGCTCGACTCGGACTGCCGTACCTGCGAGTGAGCTTATTCTTCGAGTCGTGGAAAACTTAAGAGGTTGTAGCGCATTTTGTTAAAACGACAACATTCGTACACGACGCTAATGAATAATATTGGCTGTAAAACACTTGCTTAAAAACTCATTTGAGTAGTTTTTCCATGAAAACTGTTCACTGAAACAATTAGAGACACTAATTATTCTTACCGGTCAACAAAACGCTCTAATGAAATACTTTAGAAGATTTATCGTCATTCGTATAAATCGAACCTTCCAAATACGAATATGAATATCGTTTGCTAAGGAGATTGTATTTTTTTTTTCCGACTCTGAACGTTATATAAACAGAATACGGTAACGACTAATGGCTGTGATTCGAAAGGCGAGAGCAGTGCAATGCATGAAACTAGCCCGAGATAGTTTGGCATATCTTTGCAAGTACAGAAAAGTATATGATAACAGCAAACCCAAATTTCGAAAGAATAACATTGAAGTTTTTTTTTTTATCTAAGAGATACAACTCTTATAACCAGTGGACGACGCCGAGTGAAGTTCAAAACTATCAAATGGCGAAATCGTATCTTATTAAATAGTCGGACCTATTGTTGTATTTATCTATGCGCAGTGTGCTTCGAGAGCCAACACTGGAGGATAATGAACATTTTAAACGAAACACTTGGAAAAGCATGTCGGTTACGGTTCGGTCCCAAGAGAACAGTTTGTTTGAGTTGTGATCGTTGGGCACTCGATATTTGTTTTACATTATTGTTTACCAGTGATGACCAAACAAAGTTGACGGACATTGACAACATGCGTTCAACTCGTGTCGCTCAAGTAGCATCGTCAGTAAATAAATAAAGTCCGACCAATGATCGTTCGTGTTTACCACTGGACCTTTGAGCTTTACATAGAACAGTAGCCATAACGACTAATTTTGTACACATAGTTTACAAAGACAATTTGATGCGCAATTACTGTTGTATGTTCCTAGCGTTATATAATTATTCAAATACACTCGTCCGTCGTTTTTCCTTAGACGAATTTACAACGGTTTTGATTTTTCTAACGACTAAACAAATAATTTTGCTAATTAGAAAATCCGATAGTTTTTATCACTGAAAAAACAAGCACACGTCGTTAACGTATTTCCAAACAA